AGTTGCTTTATATACTATTTTATATATATTTTGATAAAAAAAAAATTGAATAACATTTAAGATATTTGAATAATGGTTGAAAGTTCTAGTATTTTTTATGTACATAAAGCAATGTGAACATATCATGTATATAAAAATTCATTTAATGAAAACTTAATTTATTACATGATATTTTTTTAATCCAAACAGAAATTACTTCCTTTGATCATCTTGTTTTATTTTAATTCTAAATGTGATATACATTGTATATATATGTATGTATAACAGTTCCTAATTTGATGAAATACAATAGAAAAATACTGAAACAGGTCTAGGTTGGTTAAGACTTGGTCGAGTATGGTTCAGACTAGGTCTAGTATGGTTCAGACTAGGTCGAGCATGGTTCAGACTTGGTCGAAAATGGTTAAGACTAAGTCGAGTATGGTTCAGACTCGTATAAAATGGTTAAGTACTGGTCGAGTACAAGTTCAGACTGTTAAGTACAGGTCAGACTACAGTCGAGTAATATCAAGTAAATTTCAAACCAATTCAGACTGGTCGAGTAAAAACCAGTACAGTCGAGTACAGATATAGGCCATTTCAGACTTTTACTGGTTTGTAGTGTACGTTCACTAGCAAACTTTTATGCACGACTGAAGTTTAAAATGCAACATCATAATGGTTCTCATTTTTATGGATTAGATACAATGTAAATACTTGTTTCATTATTTATATTATTTGGATTTCAGGTAATCGACATTTAGTTGGTTCCACTAAGTCCTATTATATAGACTTATTGTCGATATAAACACAGGTGAAAATGTTCGTTTTCAATAAATAAGTTGTTGCACACAAAAAAAAAAAAAAATTGTTGCCAAGCTTCTATCCAAATTGACACAATTTTGCAACACAACATAGGAAAATCAGGACTGCCCATGTTATAGAAATGAATGAAGATGTGTGTCTAAATAATGGCATGTACATGATTTTCTACAGTAGATCTTATTTTCATATGATTTGTCGCTGTTCCTGACAAAGTATTACAAATGGCTCTGTTGGGCCTTTTTTTATTTTTATCTCTAAGACCAGTTGTCTCAATACCAATCATACCACATTTTCTTATTTGTATATCTCTAATAATAGTTTTGAACACGCTTCTTTAAATTGTTAGATGTTCAAATTTTATGTGCTGTACTTTAGTCATTCAACTCAAAAGGTAACTGGGGAAAAGAATTGTAGTCACTTTTGATCTTATGACCGACAGTAAAACCTAAGGAAAACTGGGGCGTCTGTTGGGTTGTGCAGGATGTATAAATGTGCAGCCATGTTCGGTTAGAATAGGTACGTTGAATCCGATGCCACGCTTACTGCACGTTAGAAACACTTGCAACCACTCTTGGAGGGGTTCGTAGGTGGCCTGTGGCAATCAGACTACAATAAATCGGTGGATATGATGCATGTTCAAACCCCAGACTTAAATTGGTGCACCGATTCATTTGCCATGTTAGTTTGGAAAATTTCCTTACTTTTATCTCCTGCAATAAGATCTTGATCAGGTGTGTGTTGAAACAAGTTATGAGTCGTATTTATTTGTTACAAGTTTTCAATATATCCAATTTTTCACAAATTATCACCCCCAAGGGTGACTGGGGAATAGAAATATGGTCACTACATGTCTTCCGACCGGCAGTAAAACCCTTGCCAAAGTGGGGCGTCCGTTTGTTGTGCGGAATATACAAGTACGCAGCCACATCCGGTCAGAATGAGGATTTAAATCCGATGCACCGTAAAGATAGAGTGCAACGCTCTGTGCATGTTAAGATCCCTTGTAACAACTCTGAAGGGTCCGTAGGTGGCCTGTTGCAAGTCTAATTTCTGTCCACATCCAATATACCCTCATTTCTCAGTGGCAGACTAAAATTTCCCCGACCTTCATCCCAGAGGGCCTCTATTACAGGACCTACCTATTGTATTTTTGTTAATTCAGTCTTGTCTTGAACATGCATGAAATATTTGCCACTGGCCGTTTAGCAACCAACAATCAACAATAAATCAAATAACAACTTAGAACTTATTTTGACATATTTATCCTTCCTCGAGATAATTGCTTGTATTCTTTTACGAGCTGACTGCTTGGTGTTGTTTTTATGACATGAGGTACACACTCTGTTTTCATGTCTGCTGTCGTATGAATGTAATATTATGTTCTGGATTTATTTAAATTTGTCCTGCATGTTTTTGCTGTTATGACTATATGTTTGTATGTAGAGAAAGGTATTGAGCATATGTGGTCATAAATGAATTAGGTACGTACATACTTAATATAGGTATCCTATTACTCATAATTAGAGAGAAATCAACATTATAAAAAATGTTAACTTTTTTTTCAAGTAGTCACTGAACCATGAAAATGAGGTCAAGGACAATGGATCCATGACAGACTTTATAACATAAGGCATCTTTATACAAAGTATGAAGCATCCAGGTCGTCCACCTTATAAAATATTAAGCTTTTACGTAGTTAGTTAATGCCCCCCCCCCCCCCCCCCCCCCCCCGCCGGATCACTATCCCTATGTCGAGCTTTCTGCGACAGAAGTCGCAAAAACTAAGTTTCCAACTCCCCCAGGCAAATTTGTTCCTAGATATTTGACAATCATTATTTCAATCAAAGATTTGTATGTATTTATACATCCCTAGTTTCCAAATGTTTTAAGTTTTAGCGTTCCTCATGTTCCTATTGCAGGTAAATCCAGAAAAGAGCTTCGGACGCACGAAATGTATGGTGTTATTTTCATTTTCTTATTTCGACAAGAAATTGCTTCTTTCAAAAAGTAAAATAACAAAAATACCAAACTCCAAGGGAAATTCAAAACGGAAAGTCCTTTATGAAATGGCAAAATCAAAAGCTCAAACACATCTAACGAATGGAAACCAACTGCCATATTCCTGACTTGGTACAGGCATTTCCTTGTGCGGAAATGGTGGACTAAACCTGGTCTCACAGCTAGCCACTCCCACTTGTATGACAGTAAAGTACACTCCTACTCCTTTATTCAACATTGGCGAACTCCAATTTGTCGCATCTTTAAAAAAAGTGAGTATAATTAAAAGTTATAAGTATTTTCAAACAAGAACTGACTGCCCTGAAGAGTTGAAAATGTTTATTTTTTTTTTCAGTTTAACTCAACATGAAAAATTGAATCATTACCGAATACAGAAGGTGGGCATATATGGTTGACCCCAAAGGTTTCAGTATTTGAGGAACGGACCTAATTAAACACTTAACATTGACCAATGAACCATACAAATTGAGGTCTCTGTCTCTGCCACTGCTGGTGGAGGTTTCCTTCCAAATGTTATCGCCAGCCCTTTAAACAGCACTTATGTGTTGACACGAGTTATCATTGATATATTCATGCTTATAAATCAACTTGTCTAAAAAACTTAAATGTTTCGAAATCCTAAGTATTTTTACCCCAGGATTAGATTACCTTAATTATATTTGGCAAAACCTTTTTAGCAATTTTTGGTCCTTAATGCTTCGTACTATATTCATTGATATTTGACCTTTTTAACTTAATTTATTCGAGCGTGACCGGTGAGTATTTTGCAGACGAAAACCGCATGAGGCGTACATAATCCTGGTATCTGTGATGAGTTAATTTATTAGACAAACCAAGCAAAAGAGAGACAAGTATTCATTATAATCATTCCATACAGCAAATATAATTTACCTACTATTTACGGTGTACCACTTCAATATGGGAGAATGGCTAACTTTACCATTGAATTGTGGCTCACTTCACTATGGGATTGTGTCTCACCTTCTAGGATTCTGAATCAATTCACTATGGGATTGTGTCTCACTTTATTACAGGATTCTGGCTCACTTCACTACGTGATTGTGGCTAACTTTACTATGTGATTGTGATTCACTTCAATATGGGATCGTGTTTCACTTTATTATAGGATTTTGACTCGGATTGTGTCTCACTTCACTATGGGATTGTGGCTCACTTCACTATGGGTATCTGGCTCACTTCACAATGAGTATCTGGCTCACTTCACTATGGGATTCTGGCTCTTCAAACAAAAAAGTGTTTAACACTGTTATTTTTGTTCACTTGATAATAAGCAAGGAACAAGAATGTGTCCATAGTACACGGATGCCTCACTCACACTATCATTTTCTATGTTCGGTGAACCGTGAAATTGGGGTCAAAACTCTAATTTGGCATTTAAATCAGAAAGATCATATCATAGGGAACATGTGTACTAAGTTTCAAGTTGATTGGACTTCAACTTCATCAAAAACTACCTTGACCAAAAACTTTAACCTCCACTCGCACTATCATTTCCTATGTTCAGTGGACCGTGAAATTGGGGTCAAAACTCTAATTTGGCATTAAAATTAGAAAGATCATGTCATAGGTAACATGTGTACTAAATTTCAAGTTGATTGGACTTCAACTTCATCAAAAACTTTAACCTGAAGCGGGACAGACGGACGGATGGACGGACGCACAAACGGAAAAACATAATGCCCTTAAGTGGAGCATATAAATATTCAGAATCGTATGGTGGCATGCATTACAATGATGTAAACAAATTTTAACCTCTAAATCATATACCTTCTTGACAGGCAAGTAGTTAACCAAATGACACTATATTCATTAAACAAGTTAACTGTTAGGTACATTAGGAAAATGGGGGCTTTGTTAGCTGAATGGTCTAAGTAGTGCTTACACTGATCACTAGGCTGCTGTCATCAGTGAGCTGCGAGTTCAAAACCTGGTCATGGCAAGGTACATTCGACTCCGATTGCAAGTTTTCTTGCCAAAGTTGTGGTTCTATCCTGGTACTCCAAGTTCCTCTTCAAAAAATAAACTGGATGCAATGGTAAAGCCAAGTATGCTGAAAGTGGCATGAAATACCAATAATCAATCAATCAATCAATCAATCAATCATTAGTAAGAGGATAAAACGTTTATATATTCAGTAAGAATAACAAACATTAGAAATCATTTACATATTTAATCATTATATTTTCCTGTCATTTTAAACAGGAGGAAACTATGTAAAATAGAAAAATCTGTACACAAAATGTCAAAAATATTTAAAATGCAAATAACAGAAAAAAATAATCAACACATAGATGTCTGCTACAAATAAATCATAAAAAAAAAACTAATATGCTACACTGTTAAAATGTCTGTGTAAATTTTATGTGCATGTGTAAAACTACAAAATCATACTTAAAAATAAACAAAATACTATAATCAGTAACAATGTCAGAAATAAAAAAAAGCCAATAAATAGATATTTTAACAAAAAACTATGTCAACAGGGTTAATAACCTTCTAAATTGTAAACAGTGATAAACACATCTTGCCTACTGTGCTGCAAACTGAAAAACAGATCAATTTGATTGACTAAAGCTGTGTGTGTAGGCAAAAATGATTGCTGCTGCTTGCACAACAAATATGTATCTCAGGCATTTGACTGATTAAAGTTTGTTTAGTTGAAAATGAGATGATTCACATGATAATTATTCATAAAAAATTGAAATTCAAAAAAATTCTTAATAACAAATTAGAACATTCCCAGTGTAAACGCAAATTTTAGGGGGAATGGAAAAAAAACAGTCATAATTTTTTTTAGAAAAAATGATATGTTTAGTAATGCTCACCAATGTGTCCTTAATTTAAATTTCGTTTCTGTTCTACAAAATATTTAAATATAAAATATATTTAAGACTGTACATTACAAAACTTTAGTCTTTCAGACATTATTACACAGCACTAGAATTATAAGTACAGAATGTTAAACATTACTTTTATCACAACCTAACAGGTAAAACTTTAATACCTCTTTATTATTTTGCACAGTTGAACATTAAAAAAGTGAGTCTTTTTTGTTATTATTTCATTCAGTTGCTTTCTGATTTCAATAATCCCTTAAATATCGTTTTTATATAATATTTACAATGTTTAATTAATCTTTAACTCTTCTGTTAGATGACTGTTGCACTGAAGCAATTTTGGTGGACTGTTGTGCATCAGCACGGAATTTTCTGTTTTTATGCTATTCAACTTCGTATTTTATGGTTGGCTTTCAAATTGTTTTGATTTGAGTGCCATTGAATCTAAAATTGATGAAACACATGCCTGGAGTACCTAAATATAAGCCTGGTATCTTCAATGAGTTAGAAAGTCTGTTATCTTTGTCAGTTATTTGAACATCTGTTTGTTCCAAATGTTCTTTGGGACAAACAAAAAACCAACATGTGTTATCTTTTAAATCAAGTTATTAACTGTTTACCATTAAATCTGTTACTTATAAAATTCAGTGTGGTTTTATTTTAGTCAAATTATGTCAGACGTAATAATCAAAAATGTACAAATGTATTAAGAAGATAATCATGACTTTCTTTTCTTACTATTTACCTCAATATAGATGATCCTTTTATTTATTTTATCAAATATTTTAAAATTATGGATTAACAACAATGTTCACAGATGAATAATAAAATGTCTTTCTTTATAAATTATTTAATACCTCTGCATCAAATTGTCATGTTTTTCAGTAAAAAAAAAACTAATGTCATGTTACAATAGAATGAATGACCCCCTAATCCAGACCCTCATATTCTGAAGCTAAAGGAAATATTTAGTAAACAAATACAGTGTAAAATATTATTCCTATAATAAATATTCATCAACTAAGCTAGCCTTCAACTGAAAGTGTATACTGTAATCACATAATTGGTTTGTAATCAATTAATCATTTTCTAGGTAATTAACTTATAAATTAACAGTATTATCCATACATGGCTATAATACAAATGTCCTTCACAAACATCCAAGCACCGATTTTATTAATTTAAATATTGTTAATATTTTGTACAAGAATGTCTGAATGCTATTTTCTTTTGAACACATTTCTTCATAATTATTTTCCCTGGGAATTACTTTTTGCACTAACATAATTAGTGCTTACTTTAAATCAGCTTTCTAAACACATCATAAAAAAACCTAAATACAACTATCCTTCCTAATAGCAGTAATGTTCTGTTCTAGAATAATTGTTTACTGCAAAAACTATTACCAATAGTTTTGACAAACATCTAACTTGGATTATCATTATCCATAAAAAATACTGACGGTCTTTTTAAGCGTTTACCTGGACTGTCAAGAAAAGTATAACAAAAATACAAAACTCCAAGCTAAATTCAAAAAGGGGGAAGTCCATAAAAACTGACAAAATCAAACCCGTCCTAAGTCAGGAATCTGATGTTCAGTAGTTGTCGTTTGTTGATGTGCTTCATACGTGTTTCTCGTTTTTTATATAGATTAGACCGTTGGTTTTTCCCGTTTGAATGGTTTTACACTAGTAATTTTTGGGGCCCTTTATAGCTTGCTGTTAGGTGTGAGCCAAGGCTCCGTGTTGAAGACCGTACTTTGACCTATAATGGTTTACTTTTATAAATTTTGACTTGGATGGAGAGTTGTCTCATTGGCACTCATACCACATCTTCTTATATCTAATTAGTATATATCAACAAAGGGAACAAATGTAAAACAGTTGTCATATTCCTTACTTGGTACAGGCATTTTCTTTGAAAAATTGTGGGTTAAACCTGGTTACAAGACTATTTTACACAGTGATTTCACATAGAAGTCTGTGACAATTAGAAAAAGCAGATCTCATGTTAACATTGTGTACATCATAGTTACTGACAAACCAAGAAATAATTGTAAAAGACTGTCGATGAATATATGATTGTGAACAATAATTCTGGAACAGAAATTGACTGCCACTGAGAAGCACAGTCATTTTATATTTGTGATGAAAGGTACATAAAATCTAAATATAAGGTGCTTGATTAATGATAAAAGGTTTATATTTTTCAAGGCTTATTATAAGAAAACAGTTTTGTGTGACAAGCTTCATCACAACTAGATACAATTTAGGCTTTTTAAATTCATGTAAGCCTTCCTGTTACATTCATATAAATGGAATAACTTGGACCTAATTTTTATTTCAAACATTGTAAAACTGTATAAATTTTTTATTGCTGCCAGTATCATCCTATTTTTGGATTAGATTTGATTTTAAATTATCTATTCTTGACACTTTTGACCAGTGCACTAAACATGCTGTCTTTATCTTTCATTAAGTTCTTTGGCGACTCATATTCCATAACTTTGCCTTTGTCAAGGACAATAACTCTGTCATAATTCATAATTGTGGAAATACGATGCTACAAAAGAGATAAAAATTATGTTAAGATACAATACCACTGGTTGAGGACAGAGAACTTTATTGGTGCAATATTAATATCATTGCTATATATGTTGTCAAGTTTGGCATACCCCAAATAGTAAAATTTCGTCAAGGCATATAATAAACAAACTTCCATGAAACTGTTCAAATTGTGCACTTCCTTAAATATATTTCTGACAGCATGGCTTCAGGATTACCATAGCAAAATATGCCCTTGGCCATTTATTCTAATTTTGCAATGCTGTGACTTTTATGCTTAGCTAGTAATATTGATGACATATCTGAAAGCCAAACTCATAGTACATCTAGTTCAAATTCAGAATTCATACCAAAAACATGAGTTATAAATTTCAAGTCAATAAATTTTGTAAAAGAAAAAAGCTACATAAATATATGTAATTAAAAAATATAGATATTTTGAGTTTAATTGCAATAAAAATGGGGCAAAAAATGTATCTAGGTTATTCCTAGAGATGTATCTATAATCCATTGATTTGAGAATAGTTTCTTATGGACAAATTGATGTTAGCACAAGGGTTGACATAAAAATAAAAATATCGTCATCTGGATATCTCATATATGACAGTTATATCTATGCTTAAGAGGGTCGGAGTTTGGCTTGCTGGAGGTCTAACTTGATTTAGGATAGGTTCAGTGTAGTGTATTCATGGTGCTGATTTAATTTATAGGCCTTATTTCCGTGGCTCCATCTATAAATTGGGTACCAGGCAATTTTCACATAGCTCTAATGTCTAGTTTGGTTACTTGTTAAACTAGAGGCTCTAAAGAGCCTGTGTCGCTCACCTTGGTCTATGTGCATATTGAACAAAAGACACAGATGAATTCATGACAAAATTGTGTTTTGGTGATAGTGATGTGTTTGTAGATCTTACTTTACTGAACATTCTTGCTGCTTACAATTATCTCTATCTATAATGAACTTGGCCCAGTAGTTGCAGTGGAAAATATTTTGTAAAAATTTACAAAAATTTACAAAATTTATGAAAATTGTAAAAAATTGACTATAAAGGGCAATAACTCCTTAAGGGGTCAATTGACAATTTTGGTCATGTTGACTTATTTGTAGATCTTACTTTGCTGTACATCATTGCTGTTTACAGTTTATCTCTATCTATAATAATATTCAAGGTAATAACAAAAAACGGCAAAATTTCCTTAAAATTACCAATTCAGGGGCAGCAACCCAACAACAGGTTGTCAGATTCATCTGAAAATTTCAGGGCAGATAGATCTTGACCTGATAAACAATTTTACTCTGTCAGATTTGGTTTCAGAGATATAAGCCAAAATCTACATTTTCCCCCTATGTTCTATTTTTAGCCATGGCCGCCATCTTGGTAGGTTGGCCGGATCACCGGACACATTTTTTAAACTAGATACCCCAATGATGATTGTGGCCAAGTTTGATCAAATTTGGCCCAGTAGTTTCAGAGGAGAAGATATTTGTAAAGGTTTACGGATGACGGACGCAGGATGCAGGACGACGGATGCCAAGTGATGAGAAAAGCTCACTTGGCCCTTTGGGCCAGGTGAGCTAAAAAAATTGCTTCCATTTCTTCTTGTGAAGAAGTATATAGAAAGTTATTTTTCCAGAATAGTGTGTCCTAAAAACATTACCCTACATGGAAGATTCACATAAAACATACCTGCCAACAAGTCAAAATCTCCATGGGGGATTTTTTAAAAGTGCAAGAGGACCTTATGCTCTTCTTATATTGTCATAAGTGTTCTTAATCTACTACTGTATATATGTGCTTAAACACCTTTTTAACTCAATATTGAATGGCTGTTTTAAAGTTTTAAGTTTACATATTAAAGAATTTAATAAAATGCTTCGCTGGGGCGCAGCTTGATACGACCGCAGAGGTCGAACCCTGAACAGTTGGGGCAAGTATGGACACAACATTCAAGCTTGATACAGCTCTGAATTTGGATTGTTATTAAATATTTGACACAGCATAGGTTTCTGACACAGAAAGAATGTGGTCTAAGAACTTGAATTTTTTTAATTTACCTATTATGGTCTAATGTCCAAAATCAAAATACATGGTTAGATTCAGCATATCAAAGAACCCCATATATTCAATTTTTGTTAAAATCAAACAAAGTTTAATTTTGGACCCCAACTTGGACAAACTTGAAAACTGGGCCCATAATCAAAAATCTAAACACATGTTTAGATTCAGCATATCAAAGAACCCCAAGAATTCAATTTTTGCTAAAATCAAACTAAGTTTAATTTTGGACCCTTTGGACCTTAATGTAGACCAATTTAAAAAACGGGACTTAAAATAAAAAATCTAAATACACGGTTAGATTTGGAATATCACAGAACCCCAATAATTCAATTTTTGATGAAATCAAACAAAGTTTAATTTTGGACCCTTTTGACCTCAATATGAACCAATTTGATAGCGGGGCCCACAAATAAAAAATCTAAATTCATGGTTAGATTCAGCATATCAAAGAACCCCATATATTCAATTTTTGTTGAAATCAAACAAAGTTTAATTTTGGACCCCAATTTGGACCAACTTGAAAACTGGGCCAAAAATCAAAAATCTAAATACATGTTTAGATTCAGCATATCAAAGAACCTCATATATTCAATTTTTGCTAAAATCAAACAAAGTTTAATTTTGGACCCTTTGGACATTAATGTAGACCAATTTGAAAACTGGACCCAAAATTAAAAATCTAAATACACTGTTAGATTCGGCATAACAAATAAATAAATGTGATCAAAGATTTTACAAATCTAATGCGCCATACTGTGCAATTAAAGATTACTTCTTGAAATTTTTCAATATTTGAAATTTGAAAAAAAAATAATATTTGAAGAATAATTCTTTTTTAAATTTCTGAAATCTGAAATGAGAAAAAATTGGCCCCCCACAATTTCTTTTTATCCCCCCCCCCCTTTTTCCCCCAAAAAAATTCTTTCCCTCAAGATATGATCATAATCTCAATTCAAATTTCCAATGGAGTAGGCAACCATAATTACCCATTTAAATTTACCATAGTGCTAACTTAATCTATTTTATAATAGAATTAATAAAAATATAGTGTCAAATCTTTCATATGGATTTTTTTGTAAAAAAAAAAGATGAAAACATTTGCAGATATTTTTACTGGTCTTCCTTTATAAATATGCATTTCTTTAAACATAATTTAAAAGCAGTGTAAGGGAAGTAACCAAAACGTTGTATTTGGATTACCTCCCTTACACTGTTTTAGATTATCTTTATTGTTCATTAACCATTACTTTATACATAATTTAAAAGCAGTGTAAGGGAGATAATTTCAATGATGTATTTGATTTATCTCCCTTACACTGCTTTAAATTATGTTTTGTACTAAAGTATTTGTCCATTAACCAGGACAACCTTGTTTTTCCCCCTTTTTTGCCCCTAATTCCTAAACGGTTTGAGCCATAACCCCCCAAAGCAAATCCTAACCATCCCTTTGTGGTATGGAAACTTGTAGTATAATTTCAGAGAGATCCATACACCGTTCCACAGTTATTGTCTGGAAACTAGAAAATGCTCATTTTTGGCCCCTTTTTGGCCCCTTATTCCTTAACTGTTGGTACCATAACCCCCAAAATCAATCCCAACCTTCCTTTTGTGGTATTTAACCTTATGGTCAAATTTCAAAAAGATCCATTCACTTAAACTAAAGTTAGAGTGCGAAAACCAATATGTATTCGGACGACGACGCCGGACGACGACGACGACGACGACGACGACGCCAACGTCATACCAATATACAACCACAAAATTTTTTTGCGGTCGTATAAAAATTCAGGTCAAATCCTCTCATGGGGATATCCCCCATAAATCAGGATAGTTGGCAGGTCTGATAAAAATAAGAAGATGTGGTATGATTGAAAATAAGACAACCATCCACTCGAGATCAAACTACGTAGATGTAAGTAACTATTCGTAACTATACAGTCTTCAACAATGAGCAAAATATATACTTTTAGCTATTAAAGGTTGCATTTCTGTAAATATTGGCAATGCAATTTCCCATAGGAACTCCTTTTACGGCTAAAACTGTACCACTTTTACTATGAAGTTTTGAACAAAATCTTATCCTAGAATTGAAAGTTCATATGCACTACAATTTTTTTCAAAGGTCAAAATATAGGGCTGTGCGGCATATTTTCAACGTTTATATGCCCTGAACTTTTCAGAGTTTAAACTAACACTAATTTTCTTAACTACCTCTACCTCGAATGAAGGGTTACCACAGATTTCAATGTAAACAATATGCACATGTATATTTACTGGTAACATTCCCAAGTTATGTCTCTATGAGATGGAACACAGAGAGCATAACTGGGAACCAGTATGTAAACAAAATTAATTTTCTATGAATATTCTAAATCTCCCCAAAAGAGGCGTGGTTTGAGAAACAGCTGTATTTACAAAGTGCAACCTATAAGTGATGATAATACGAAGTGTAAAACAATTCAAAAGATATAACTTTTTAATCTGCCTGATTTATGTTCAAAACAATAAATGATAAAACAAATATGAAATACAGCAACCAACATCACACAATGAATTGCAGATCTCTATAGACAAAATATAAAAATAAGGAGATGAGGTATGATTGCCAATGAGAGAACTATCCACCAAATTTCAAATAAAGTGGATGTAAGCAATTATTGGCAACTGTAAGGCCTTCAACAATGAGTTACACTGTTAACACAGTGACATGTCTCACCTATTTGTTATTTGGATAATGCAAATGTTGAAATTAAAATAGCAACACTTTAACATGTAAGTTATGCAAATATTTAAAGTCAGTGAACCATAACTGAAGGTACAGGGCTTAACAATCTCCATTGAAATGAGATGTGCCAATGTTAATACAACTGCATACCAATTACCATTGACTTTTCATAAGTCGTTCCCTTTAAACAAACCTAAACACAAACATTAACTTGTAAACTATGTAAAAGTTTCAAAGTCAATGAACCATTATTAGGGGGTGGGGTTATATAATCTCCATGGAAATGAATCTTGCAAATGCCAATACATTTGTATACCAAATATCATTGACTTACCATTAGTGGTTCATCTTAAACTTACCTAATCAAAAACTAATACATGTAAACTAACAAAGTTTCAAAGTCAATAAACCATGACTGAGGGGTAAGGACCAAATATTCTCCATGGAAATGAGATGTGCTTATGCTTATTCAACTGCGTACCAATTATCATTGACCTACCACTAATGGTTCCCCTTAAACTGACCTCATCACAAACTAATACATGAAAACTAAGCAAAAGTTTCAAAGTCAATAGAGCATGACGGAGGGGGCAGAGCCACATAATCTCCATGGAAAAGAGATATGCCAATGCTTATTCAACTGCATACCAAACATCATTGACCTACCACTAGTGGTTCACCATAAACTAGACCTAATCACAAACTAATACATCGTTGATGCCACCGCCAGAAACAGCATAGCTATGTCTTGCTTTTTGAGTCCGTCATGGCAAGACAAATAAAATGCTTCGCTGGGCGCAGCTTGATACGACCGCAGAGGTCGAACCCTGAACAGTTGGGGCAAGTATGGACACAACATTCAAGCTTGATACAGCTCTGAATTTGGATTGTGATTAAATATTTGACACAGCATAGGTTTCTGACACAGAAAGAATGTGGTCTAAGAACTTCAATTTTTTTAATTTACCTATTATGGTCCAATGTCCAAAATCAAAATACATGGTTAGATTCAGCATATCAAAGAACCCCATATATTCAATTTTTGTTGAAATCAAACAAAGTTTAATTTTGGACCCCAACTTGGACAAACTTGAAAACTGGTCCCATAATCAAAAATCTAAACACATGTTTAGATTCAGCATATCAAAGTACCCGAAGAATTCAATTTTTGTTAAAATCAAACTAAGTTTAATTTTGGACCCTTTAGACCTTAATGTAGACAAATTTAAAAAACGGGACCCAAAATTAAAAATCTAAAAACACGGTTAGATTTGGCATATCAAAGAACCCCAATAATTCAATTTTTGATGAAATCAAACAAAGTTTAATTTTGGACCCTTTTGACCTCAATATGAACCAATTTGATAGCGGGCCCACAAATAAAAAATCTAAATACATGGTAAGATTCAGCATATCAAAGAACCCCATATATTCAATTTTTGTTGAAATCAAACAAAGTTTAATTTTGGACCCCAATTTGGACCAACTTGAAAACTGGGCCAAAAATCTAAAATCTAAATACATGTTTAGATTCAGCATATCAAAGAACCCCATATATTCAATTTTTGTTGAAATCAAACAAAGTTTAATTTTGGACCCCAACTTGGACCAACTTGAAAACTGGTCCCATAATCAAAAATCTAAACACATGTTTAGATTCAGCATATCAAAGAACCCCAAAAATTCAATTTTTGTTAAAATCAAACTAAGTTTAATTTTGGACCCTTTGGACCTTAATGTAGACCAATTTAAAAAACAGGACCCAAAATTAAAAATCTAAATACACGGTTAGATTTGGCATATCAAAGAACCCCAATAATTCAATTTTTGATGAAATCAAACAAAGTTTAATTTTGGACCCTTTTGACCTCAATATGAACCAATTTGATAGCGGGCCCACAAATAAAAAATCTAAATACATGGTAAGATTCAGCATATCAAAGAACCCCATATATTCAATTTTTGTTGAAATCAAACAAAGTTTAATTTTGGACCCCAATTTGGACCAACTTGAAAACTGGGCCAAAAATCTAAAATCTAAATACATGTTTAGATTCAGCATATCAAAGAACCCCATATATTCAATTTTTGTTGAAATCAAACAAAGTTTAATTTTGGACCCAAACTTGGACCAACTTGAAAACTGGGCCCATTATCAAAAATCTAAACACATGTTTAGATTCAGCATATCAAAGAACCCCAAGAATTCAATTTTTGTTAAAATCAAACTAAGTTTAATTTTGGACCCTTTGGACCTTAATGTAGACCAATTTAAAAAACGGGACCCAAAATTAAAAATCTAAATACACGGTTAGATTCGGCATATCAAAGAACCCCAATAATTCAATTTTTGATGAAATCAAACAAAGTTTAATTTTGGACCCTTTGGACCTCAATGTGGACCAATTTAAAAACGGGGCCCAAATTCCAAAAACTTAATACCCGGTTAGATTCAGCATATTAAAGAACCCCAAGAATTCAAGAATAAAACCCCATTGAAATTGATCAAGAAATAAGCAATTTATACGAAGTATCTTCTTTTGCACAATACTGTACAATTGACAATTTCTTGCTATTGTGCAATATTGTGCTATTGGATATTTCTTGCTATTGCGCAATACTGTTAAATTGAAGATTTCTTGCTATTGCGCAATACTGTTAAATTGAAGATTTCTTGCTATTGCGCAATACTGTGCAATTGAAGATTTCTTGCTATTGTGCAATACTGTGCAATTGAAAATTTCTTGCTATTGCACAATACTTATTATATAATAATTTACACATCCTGTTTGGTGTGTATCTCCTACCATATCATTATTATTTGCTTTTAAATATAAATCAGAAATAACCAACTTAAAATGGATAATTTTAAAAGAAAAAAAAAAGGAAAAAAGGAAAAAAAGAAAAAAAAAAAATCCCCCCCCCCCAAATTTTTTGAACCCCCTTATGATTCATCACCCCCAAACTCAATCCCAGCCTTCCCTTTGTGGTATGGTACCTTGCAGTACAATTTCAGAGAGATCCATAGACTTGAACACAAGTTATTGTCTGGAAACTAGAAAAATGCTTATTTTTGGCCCCTTTTTGGCCCCCAATTCCTAAACGTTTCGGGCAATTACCCCCAAACTCAATTCCAGCTTTCCCTTTGTGATATGGAACCTTGTAGTACAATTTCAGAAATATCCAAACACTTACACACAAGTTATTGTCATGAAACTAGAAAAATGCTTGTTTTTTGCCCCTTTTTTGGCCCCTAATTCCTAAAATTTTGAGGCAATTACCCCCAAAATCAATTACAGCCTTCCCTTTGTGATATGGAACCTTGTGGTACAATGTCAGAGAGATCCATACACTTACACACAAGTTATTGTCTGAAAGTTACAAAAATGCTTATTTTTGGCCCCTTTTTGGCCCCTAATTCCTTAACTGTTGGTACCATAACCCCCAAAATCAATCCCAACCTTCCTTTCGTGGTATTGAACCTTATGGTGAAACTTCATGGAGATCCATTCACTTAAACTAAAGTTAGAGTGCGAAAACCAATGTGTCTTCGGACGACGCCAGACGACGCCGGACGACGACGACGACGACGACGACGACGACAACGACGACGACGACGACGACGACGACGACGCCAACGTCATACCAATATACGACCAAAAAATTTTTAATTTTTGCGGTCGTATAAAAACCCATTCCTTATAGTCAGTATAATGCTATTTGCTGTGGATTCATTTATTTCAATGGGTACCAATTTTCATGGATTTAAAATCAATTTTATTTCCATGGATATTTGATTTCATGGTTTTACTAAAGCATGCATAAAAGCCTCTAGAAATTTTGCACAATTTGTTGAACATTTAAATTTGTGGTTCATCTTGTCGCGAAAATAAATCACTCGCAAAACTTAGTTGGTTTACAGTAATAACAAATCTACAGTTGTACTTACTGCTATAGTGATGACAGTTTTGTTTTTAAAGGCTGAGAAGATAACTTGTTGGAGTTTATTATCTGTGGCTAAGTCTATGGAGGCTGTGGCTTCATCTAATACTAGTATCTTATTATTCCTTAAAAAGGCTCGGGCTAAACAGAATAACTGAAAATACAAAAATAACATCATTTAATAATATAAATTTTCTACCCCAGGAATAGATTACTCTAGCTTCATTTGGCAAGACCTTTCAGAATTTTTGGTCCCGAATGCTTTTCAATTTTGTACTTCATTTGTCTTTTTAACTTTTTTTGATTTGAGCATCACTGATGAGTCTTTTGTGGACAAAACTCTCGTCTGGCATACAAAGATATATACTGATAATTTTTTGAGATGAAAATGATAAAGGTTGATTGAAGCTGCACAATCATACGTGTGTTATGTTGTGGAAAAGAAAACACTATAAACAAAAAATATGAATGCTCTCTAAAAACAATAGAAAACCAAAGTAAAAAGAAAATTTAAAACATTAAACAAAGACTGACTGAATAATGCAAGATGTCATGCCAGGACTAACTCAGAAACAAAATATTTTGTCAATAGCCTTACAAAAAGGAAAAATAATGTCAAATTGAAATTAGGGGGGTGGGAATCAAGTAACAGCTTCATGTTCTTAAGGATACAACTTACAATATTGATTACAGTATTGTTCAACACCAGATATCATACTCTAAATTTTATTTCACTAAAACAATAAGTAATGCGACAAACCTGTTTCTGTCCAACACTAAAGTTTTCTCCTCCTTCTGTTACATCTGAATCTGTAAAGAAATAATAGAAGTTTTCAAACGTTTAACCATTTGTATGAAGGGTCTCAGTACAAAAGTGTAAAGTTATTTGCAAATTTCCAAGTTTCAAATCATTCAATGAAGATTTAAGAAATTTATTGATGACTAAAAGATTTATTCTGAGACTGCATGTTAATACTAATAACAAAAAAAAAAGAACAAAAAAAGTCCACTTATCTGTAAAATATGGAAAAACTAAAAGATTTATTTCAAAATTCAGATTCAGACATTATCTCTAAATAATGTTAATCATTAAAAGGCTTCTTCAACATTTCAAAAGATTCTATGAAATAATCACAAAGTAATTGATGTTGTAAAAAAACTTAACCACAGACTCTATCTAAAAGTTAACTACAAAATAAACTAATTCCTTTTTGTTAGTGAAATATATTTCAAAATTTTGATCATATTAATGCTTTTGTCATTTTGAAAATTTGACAAAGTTATTGATGTCAAAAAAAAACTTAGACAACCACAGACAAACCTTTAAAATGCTGACTATTCCTACGGCGGAATATTGGATCGCTATGTTTACCTTCCTCAACAAAATTTTGCACAGACTTGACAAAAATGTATGACAAATATATTAATTTTAAATATAAATCTCTGATTACTTCCCCTTAATATAAAATATATGGCAGTGGCGAAAACATGTTATTTTGCCGGCTCTGATTAAATTATCTGAATTAAGGTGGCTGGGGTGTCTTCCTCCATCTAGGATTTTGAAGTAGCAGATAACAATTGGTCTTCTTTAATGAAATGTGCAATTTTTGAGAGTAGTTTGTAATTCATGTGTAAGACTTTTCTTGTTAATATCGAAAATTATGTGTTTTATCTTATTTACGGCTGTTTTTTCTAAAAAAAACAAAATTTTTGTTTGATTCATTTTTTTTCAACTTTGCCACATAAGGGGAGATAACTCAGATTGTACTTTACTCAGATAAAGTAATTTTTTACAATAGAAAGTGTTGTGAATTTACCTATTTTAATATGTAGCAAGAAAATAAGTTTGGTGACCCCATTTTTTCTTTTTCTTATCTGAAAGTATGTTATAAGAGCTATCTTCTAATATTTTATCTTAAAATTCTATGGTGTAGTTTTCTTTTTATCATACAAAATTGTATTTTCCATGCATAATCTATACAAAATCTGACAATTTTGCACAACCTGTAATGTGAAAAAACTACATTTTGACAAATTATTAAATAATTCTATGGATTTTAATTAAGACACCCTCTCCACCTTAAAGCCAGCAAAATAGCATATTTCTATAGAAATTGCTATTACCGGCACTGGCAATATAGTGAAATTGTTGCCGGTGCTGGAAAAATAGAAAATATGCTATTTTGCCTGCTCCAGTAGGTAAGCGGAAGCCAAGTTAAAAACTATTTTGTTTACATATATGCAATTCAAAGAACTGACTATTATTTCAAACGCAAATTTAATTAAAATATTTTTGATTTTTGAAGCTAAGTGATTGATTTTGTTATATTGTATAATGTTTTATAAAATTTATGATGCAATGAGATTTTTAACTTTTATTTTTATACAACATAGAGTTATAAAATCTGAGATTTTATTCTTATGCATACATGTAGCATTATGACCGGAAATGTGTGGCTGTTAAAGGCAAAAGGTTGGGTCAAAAAGATCGCGAATTATGTTAAAATGACTGTCTCTTTAGCCTTGAAAACTAAAAAGTAGATGTCCGTTTCATGCTTTGCCCAGCCGGACTTTTACCGGACATTATACAAATGTCTGGAATATATGACTGTTTTGGAAGCCTTGGCTTGGATGTGTATAAAGTGGGGATTAAGACTTCCGTTGGTGATCACCTAAAAACTACTCAATCGGCGTCTTTAATCTTGTATTTTCTTTTGAAAAGAAAGAGTGAGATGAAAGAAAATGAAGAGAAATCTAAATTTTCTAAAATTTCTTGTATCCGAGAATAAACAATTTTGTCAACTTTAAATGACCTAAATAACGCTAAGATTGATTGGAAAATTACTCTCTCAGGTAAAAGCCATAGAAAACAATTGTAACTGAAACAATTGAATAAGTAAAAATAATTTTATTATAATAATAATAATGAAAGACCATGACATACAAATACATCGATCTGATACCAGAATATCGATCCCCTTTCCATATTCATCCGGATTTATTTTAGCTTTACCAAGCTAAGCAAGAGTTGTGTCCTCTGGTCTGTCAAGCTTCTGTTTTTCGTTTGAGTCGAACTACGTGTATCTCGAAATATTTCTCTGGTCCGGCTGACTTCGAGATAACGAGAGTCGACTGTATATGCATCTCAAAATATTGTTAGCTGTTTTCTTATTTAACCACAGCTATATCAGAAATTATTTGATTCTTTTATGTTCACAGTGCACCTTTTCGTAGTACTTACTTTTCAATCTTTACAAAGAACAGGCAAAATAACAAATTCACTATGTTGCTGGTGCCGGTAAAAGAGCCATTTCAATAGAAATATGCTATTTTGACAGCTTGAATTCAGATATAGCCACTGCCAAAATATATATCCTGATTATTTCTCCTCAATCCTCAATATAAAATATAAATCTCTGATTATTTGCCCTTAATATAAAATATAAATATCTGATTATTTCCCCTTAAGTTCAACCTAAAACATATTTTTTCATTCTAACACATGCATCTATTAAAATGACAATAATAATGACATATACTTAATTGGTCTGGCAGGGCTGTAATGACCTCTTTCATTTGTACTGTTTCCAATGCTGACCACAACTTTTCATCATCTAAAGTATCTGTAGGGTCTAAATTGTACCTAAAACAAGTAAATAAATATTTTTCATTTCTTATGTATAGCGTTTTTGTATTGTGCAGATGTATATGCATGTGTCAATTTTTTAAAGTTTTTAAATGCTTTTAGTCCTAGGTTAAAGAAGGTCTGCTATTTGACCTTTATTCCTTAGTTCATTGTTTTTAACTAGAACACATTGAATCATTCATATATATGTGCACCAATTTTCATGGTTTAAGAAATTTAGTTTTTGTCGTTTTGACAATACCCCACACAAGCTAATACAAAGCTGAATTTATTTTCTGTTGAACACTTTACATGTATTCATAGTTATTCTTAGTCCAAAAAATCCGTGAAAACTAGTACATGTACCACACAAATATTAATAAATCAACAGTATACAGTATGGTTATTTATTCAAATATAGTCAACAATCAAAACATAATAATATATATTCTGACTGAAGCTAAACTGTCTTTCTTAGTATACACAATATTTTACTAAGTAAATAAATAAATAAACAACTTACTATGTGGTATGGGATGAAGACCATATAGTGACCTATAGTTGTTAACTTCTATTTCATTTGATCTCTGGTGGAGAGTTGTCTCATTGTCATTCATGCCACATCTTCATATTATTATACGTACAGAAATGCAATGCAAAGATTAAAAAACATGTGACAAGTCACTTATACAAACCCCTCTCCTATCTTAGTCAAGTTAGTTTTTAAACAAAACTCTACTTTTCCTTATTTTTTACATATAAACATCATGATCATTCTTAATCATCAAATATCAATTAAAGTTACATCTGTGATTTTTGCAAAGTTCAGGCAACAAATTGACCTGAAATACTCAAAACCCAGAAGTCTGAAATGTTTGGTCTCAATTGTAAGTTTGTATCAGTCAATTCTGTCACTTATGTCATCTTTCCACTCATATCATATCTCTGGCAGAGCACTCAGTTCAATATTGGAGCTTGAAGATGATAAAGTACTTATACGCAAAATGTGACGACATAATTGGTACATACATGTATACTCAACAAAACAAATAACCCACCACATCTTACTATATATATTCATTATATGAAATCAATGCACAGTTTAACTTACAGAGGATTTTTCATTTTATTAGTGACAATGGATATTTCAATCACAAAAGTCAATAATCAAAAGAAATAGGTCAATTTTAAATTTGTCTTTAAACAAGAGTTTGATTAAGAAAGTGTAAATGGGTCATTTATGTTGTTTTCAGGTGAAAATATACACATGACTTTGCTTTCACCAATTTCGCAAAGTTTTTGGATTTTTTTTGTTAAAAATTTCTTATTTGAGATGTCAAAAATTAAAATTAAGAAAATTCTCATTTTCACAGAATTTGGTGTTTATGACTTCAGAAATGTTGTGTCCAAATTTTGACTTGTTTCAAATACTTTTAAAATGTGATATGCAACCGAAATTTTTACTCTGAGTATATTATGTAAAGGAAAGAAGGCATTTTTATGAGGTTTGAACCTTGCTACCACAAATTTTATTTTCATATCTTAGACTTACCTTACAGAGCCAGCAAACAATACTGGATCCTGAGGAATAATTGCTAACTGGGATCTCAATTTTTCTAAAGGTACTCTTGCTATATCTTTCCCATCTATGATTATACTTCCACCACATATATCAATCATGCGGAACAAACTCAACGTAACAGATGATTTTCCACTTCCTGTTCTTCCGCATAAACCAACCTGAAAATATTTATATATATATACTGTGGATTCATATATTTTCACGAAATCCACGAAAATTGGTACCAAACGAATAATAATGAATCCATAAATATAATGTTTCACACTTTTGAAAAATTGCTTATAAAAATTAATGATTTATTTGCTGTAATATTAACCATGTACATTAAGTGTTCCATTTATTGTGAATCATATTAGGGGTCTGATAACAAGGATACTACTAACATGCTTGACGACTGCTTTAAAGATCTGATATATGATCCCTATAAAATTCAGAACTCTACTATCAAACTTACAATTCACTTTATCTTAATAAAATTCTTCACACCTAACTATTTTAGAATTCTACTATCGAACTTGCAGTTCTCTTCATCGCAACCAGTTCAACACCCCTAAATATCTCCAAAAAAAAACTCTATAACAAAGCATGCAATTCTTTCGATTTACATGTATATAATATTCAACATTGATTAAACATGACATGAAATAAGGAAATGAATCTTTCAAAATACCTTTGAAATGATAAAACATTTGGTATGATATTACCTTTTCTCCGGCATTTATAGTAAATGATGCCTCTGTAACTACTGGATCTAAGTGGGAATCATATCTTAGACTGACTTTATCAAAAGTTATCTCCCCTTTCTCTGGCCATGATTCATCAACAATCAGGTTTCCTGTCAAAAATATTATAAAACTGTATTACCTTTGATGATGAGTATAATTTTCATATATTAACATATTCAATATAATACTAAATAACAAAAATTATTTGAAAATAGCTTTTCTGTAATATTTACCATAGCAAAAAATGATCATAGCTCTGGACATCAGAAATGTAACAGTTTCAGAGATAAAAAATCAGTAAATATCATTATGAGTTGCATATTAAATGAAAATCAATATTTTATTACCATATCCGTCAGCTGTCACACTCAGTATTTGAGTATAATACTGTGGATTCATGTACTTTCATGGATACCAATTTCCGGGGATTGAGGAAAACTTGTATTTTTGTAGATATTTGATTTTGTGGTTCTGATAAAGTCTGTGTAGAATCATATAGAGAATTGTTACCACTTAGATTATTTTAATTCACAGTTAACTTAATCCAAATCCAAAGACCCTGTTCGTTTTAGAATGAATATAGGTGTTACTCACTATCTAGGTGTTTGTAAGGATCTATCATTTTGTATACATATATCCTATCTTTTTAAAACAAAATAGGTGTTACTCACCATCTGGGTATTTTATAGATTCCACCACTGCATCAAGTGTGTTACGATATTTCTCCCCTCCAGAAAATTAAATTTTAAAATTTAAAACGCAAGACTTGCCGAGCTTTTCAAATATTTAAAAATTAATTGTTGAGAGTGGAGAATATCAAAATACACGATACCCTGTTGGAATGTTTCTCTAAATATAATGATTTTAAGACGATATCTAAACAAGTTTATCCTTCCTCTTCAAAGATTTGCAAAAAGTTGTATATCTGACATCATCAGGCATGGTCGCCTTTTTCATGACATCACAATAGGAAATTCAGAAGAAATCAAGAAAATTTGATGTCATAATTGAAATTTCGACCAATCATTTGCCGAGAACAAAGCTTTCCCTAGAGAAGAGAAATATTTTTCTCACACAAATAGCATGAAAATTTCGAGAAGTAAGTTTCTATAATTGTGTAGGATGTTACTCACCGTCTGGGTGTTTGTAAGGTTCTATAATTGTATAGGATGTTACTCACCGTCTGGGTGTTGTAAGGTTCTATAATTGTGTAGGATGTTACTCACCGTCTGGGTGTTTGTAAGGTTCTATAATTGTGTAGGATGTTACTCACCGTCTGGGTGTTTGTCAGGTTCTATAATTGTGTAGGATGTTACTCACAGTCTGGGTGTTTGTCAGGTTCTATAATTGTGTAAGATGTTACTCACCGTCTGGGTGTTTGTAAGGTTCTATAATTGTGTAGGATGTTACTCACCGTCTGGGTGTTTGTAAGTTTCTATAATTGTGTAGGATGTTACTCACCGTCTGGGTGTTTGTAAGTTTCTATAATTGTGTAGGATGTTACTCACCGTCTGGGTGTTTGTAAGGTTCTATAATTGTGTAGGATGTTACTCACCGTCTGGGTGTTTGTAAGTTTCTATAATTGTGTAGGATGTTACTCACCAACTGGGTGTTTGTAAGGTTCTATAATTGTGTAGGATGTTACTCACCGTCTGGGTGTGTGTAAGTTTCTATAATTTTGTAGGATGTTACTCACTGTCTGGGTGTTTGTCAGGTTCTATAATTGTGTAGTATGTTACTCACCATCTGGGTGTTTGTCAGGTTCTATAATTGTGTAGGATGTTACTCACCGTCTGGGTGTTTGTCAGGTTCTATAATTGTGTAGGATGTTACTCACCGTCTGGGTGTTTGTCAGGTTCTATAATTGTGTAGGATGTTACTCACCGTCTGGGTGTTTGTCAGGTTCTCTTTCTAATTTGGTATATTCATGAACTCTCTCCACGGAATTCATTAACATTTCTGTTTCCGTTGACATCCTTACAATCCAATTTAAATAAAATGATACCTGAAATAATTTTGTTTCAATATATTTTAATAAATCAAATAATCAAGGTGGATTTTTTCCAATAAAATGTAACCTTTACCAATTTATTAGCTCCAGAAAAACTTATGACACATGAGAACATAGGCTTCTGACATGGCACATGAGAACATAGATTTCTGACATACAATATCAACAAATTTCAAGAATCAACTTACAAAATAAGAGTATTTTTCATTTTGTATCTAAATCATTGTACTTTGGTTCACGAGAATAAATATATATACATTTATTTTAAATCCAAGTTAAAATGCATAGAATCATCATAGCTTGGCTCCTTTTTTGTTTTGTTTCAGGGGTAGGTTGCCATTCTTGGCCTTACTCATATTATACATAACTCCCATGCTAAGACACCTCTAGTTATCATTTTAGTCCAATTACTTTATCTGTATGCTCCTGCATTTGCGATATTTTACTAATGACTTAAAAAATGAAGATTGATTAATTATTGGTGTTAAACACCACTTTCAGCACTGTCGGCTTTCTCATGGTGGCCAGTTCTTGAAGGTGGAGGAAGCTTGAGTATGCAATGAGAATCACTGACCTTCAGAAGGAAAACTGGCAAACCTAGTTAATTAAGATCAGAGTTAAACACACCTTACCACAAGCTGGGTTGGAACTCACAACCTTGGTGTGAACAGTTCTTATTGGTAGAGGAACCTGAAGTATTCAGATTGAATCACTGACCTTCAGAAGGAAACTGGCAATCCTAGTTATTTAAGATCAGAATCAAATACACCTTACTACAAGCTCGGTTGGAACTCACAACCTCAGTGTAAACAGTTCTTATTGGTAGAGGAAGCTGAAGTATTCAGATTGAATCACTGACCTTGAGCAGTAAAACTTGCAAACCTAGTTAATTAAGATCAGAGTCAAACACACCTTACTTCAAGCTAGGTTGGAACTCACAACCTCGGTGTTAACAGTTCTTATTGGTAGAGGGAGCTGAAGTATTCAGACTGAATCACTGACCTTGAGCAGTAAAACTTGCAATCCTAATTAATTAAGATCATTCAAACACACCTTACTACAAGCTAGGTTGGAACTCACAACCTCGGTGTTAACAGTTCTTATTAGTAGAGGGAACTGAAGTATTCAGATTGAATCACTGACCTTGAGCGGTAAAACTTGCAATCCTAGTTATTTAAGATCAGAGTCAAACACACCTTACTACAAGCTAGGTTGGAACTCACAACCTCTGTGTTAACAGTTCTTAGTGGTAGAGGGAGCTGAAGTATTCAGGTTGAATTACTGACCTTGAGCAGTAAAACTGGCAATCCTACTTAATTAAGATCGGAGTCAAACACACCTTGCCACAAGTAGGGTTGGAACTCACAAACTCAGTGTTAACAGATCAGTTATCACTGTAGCAAAATACAAAGAAGCTACACAGTTAATATTCACCTGTAGAGCATATGTTATTCCTAAACCAACAAATGCCGGTGATGTATTTCCTCCTAGACAGCTGGCTAGCGTTACCACGGCAGCAAACAAAACTTGGATTGACCCTAAATAATCCTGTAAGAAGAAAAATAAAATTACTCACAATTAATGTAAATTCAGAAATTGATGTGTACATTTTTTTTTGCAACAGTTAAAAAAAAAGACAGAAATGCAAGATTAATTATTGCGAATTCAGGAAATGCTATTGAAATTCAAAATGAAAGTTTTTGTTCTCACGAAACCTATCCTGTCACAATTTTTCCATAATTAAAGCATTGCAAAAAATTGCAAATCAGTATTATTGTATTTCAAACAAACTGAAATATTTTTTCATGTTGATCACACGGAAAGGGCTAGATACAATTATCATAGGATATTTTACAATAAGAATCATCCCGTGCTATAAGAATAACATTTATCATCACACCTCTCAAATAAAATATTTTAAAAGGAAAAGAAATAGCACAAATTGCTATGCATGAGCAAAACGGATTTTTTGAATTAAAAGGTTCAAAATAAATTGTTGGAAGGTATAATTTTGTAGCATGATTTTAAAGGGCAACTGAATTTTTACAAATCTTGTAAATAGGAAGAGTACAGAGTCACAACAAAAATTTTGTAATTTCATAGGTATGACATTACAAGTGTCACCATTGCAAAAAAAAAAAATTTCAGCATTGTAATTAATCTGTGGTTTTATTAAACAACAAACCAATGATACAATAACCAAATAAAAAAATAAAAAAAAATATGTTACTTACCAAATTAACTCCTAACCATCTATTAGCTGTATGCAAATACAAAAATGGTGTGTTGTTTTTATTTATTAAATTCATCACCTTGGAAAAAAATCTTTTCTCTGACCTGAAAAAAAAACCCAAAATATGATTAATTGTTGGATGGTATGTGTATATCCAGGACAATGCCGTGAAAATGTAATGAGAATATAATTAATATTATAATCTATATTAGTAAAATAATATCTTAAACAAAGCTGAGTTGGACGAAAATGAATGCAGGCTTATATTATATATGTTAACAAGACACTAAAAGAGATAAATTCAAAATCTACATTTTTTTCAAGGTAAAAGACCATTTTTGTGTTGATGATTAGTTATTATCTGGTGACTTTCTAACAGTGATGCTGTCTTTGGTTTTTGAAGCTGAAAATTTGAAATATGGATACCCTTTATGATATTGTGAAGTTTTAGGATGTATTAACAAATAAAACATAGCTTACTTTAGAATATGGGTTTTGCTCATTGTTAAAGGTCATATGGTGAACTGCAGTTGTTTACATTCTTGTCATGGTGGATAGTTGCCTCATTAGCATTCAAACCACATCTCCTAATTATCAAAATGATCATTGGACTTGTAATCATTGCTTTACAGTATAATACCTGATTCAGTAAAATTTTATTACAGGAATACAATAAGTGAGAGCAGGGCACAGAGTCCAATGGACACATTTTTATATTATAACATTTATCTTTAACAGTGTTCAGTGAAGCAAGAAATCTGTGTCAAAGCCTTTATTTTAAATATATGTAGGACTCAAATCTATGGTGGGTTCAAGATCTATGGCAAATTCCTAATCTATGGTAAATATGACGTCACAAACGCCAATCAAATCATAAATCTATGGCAGTTTTTTGTTTTTTACAAATCTACGGCAGATTTCGGGTTTTTTGTAATTTTCCGTCACAATTAAATAACCTCATGTAATGTGCAAGGCGCTAATAACAATGACGGTTTTGTTATATAGAAGAAAAGGAAAGGCCAGTTTTCAAGGACCGTAATCCATAAATTAAATTATATTTTAGAATTTGAGTCTAACTTAACAGAAATACCTGCAAATGAGAAGATGTAATCATTTGATTCGGATGAAATAAGAATACTTGCAAACAAACCCATAGTCATTTGTAGCAGCAAAATCACTGGTGCAGGCAATTTCAAACAAATAAATAATCTTTTTGGTGTTTTTGGTGTTTATGTTTAGTGTTTGTTTCCGCTCCTTGTTTTCTTGTCCTCGTGTTCCTAGTGTTGTGATAAGCTGTTTTCTTATTATTTTTTTATCCCTATTAAATTATGGTCTTTTTTAATTTTAATTTACATGTAACATAGCCAATAGCAATATTTCTTGAGATTTGAAAAAAAAAATCTGTCATAGATTTCTAATAAATATTTACATTATTTTCCGCTATATTTATGTGGAATAACTGTACTGTTGGAGAAATAAGGATTTTTTAAGAAAGCCACATGTTTGATGCAAAGCATTGTTCATTACAGGACTTTAACTTAAATCGCTATCAGTTAAAAAAGATTTAATAATGCTCAAATAAATATAGGTAAAAAGTCAAACTGCTTTTTGGGTTGTTAAGGGACTTGGATAAAATGAACAGTCAAACAGGTACAGAGTAGAAAATGCTATTCTTCCAGGTCCCATCATTTCACTTCTAAAGCCTGTGTTCATTTCACAAATGGTTATGGATATACTTCCTAGTCGTACTCCTAATCCATTTATCTTATACTGGCTTTTACTTAAAAGCAGCTTTTGCTACATTTGGACATGACGACCTGTTTAAGTCAACTTTGAAATCATTGGTCAGATAATATGTACTGACTGGTCCTGCATTTGCAGAAAATCTGCCATAGATTTGAAAACTAGAAATCTGCCATAGATTAGAAAACGAAAAATTTGCCATAGATTTGAGATGGCATGACATCATATTTACCACAGATTAGGAATCTGCCATAGATCTGGAACCCACCATAGATTTGAGTCCTACATATATATTAAAAAGTTCAATTCATACTATACATGTGTACTAAGTTTCAAGTTGAGTAAAGTTTTATGAATGAGGTCCATGGCCTTACCTGTATGCTCTAATAGTCTGTAGTCCATTTAACGTTTCTGAGAAATGTGAAAAGATTGGTGATTTTGTAGTATTATCTAATCTTTGTAACTCTCTACAAAACAAAGTACATGTAAACTGTTATTATTTTTATTTATTATAACTCAGTTATCTTATGTGTATTGATAATATGGTTCCTCTAATTGATAGTTCCCTTTATTCTATGGTTTACCAAAGAAAACATGTTGTAATCTAGAAGTTATATATATTTTATTATCGAAATATTTTTACATGTAAAAATGTTGTCTTTTTAAGTATGTATTAGATGTCGCTTTTAATGATAGTGTCGCATATGTTTATTTAGCAGTTATTTCTTGTCTTGCCAAAATCTCCAAAATAAGATTAGCAGTAAATTTAATGATAAGTTTTTGATGAATTTTAAAATGAAATGATCAGTAAAAAGAAAACTGGTTTACCAAAGTTCAAGGTTATGGGAGGGTTGAGCTCTCACAAGCATGTTTGACCCTGTCACATACTTTATGTGCCTGTCCCAAGTTTGGAGACTGTAATTCAGTGGTTGTGCTTGGAATAGTCTGTCATATTTCTTTTCCAGAAATTATTTTGTTGTAAATTATGCTGGTTTTTATTTTTTTTTAATTGTTTCACATTTTGTCGTGTCAGAACCTTTTATAGCTGACAATATAAGGTATGTGATTTGTTCATTCTTAAAGGCTGTACAATGAACTATAATTGCTTGAATCAGGGCAATTATGTTACACACTTCAAATGATGCACTGTCAACGTAAGGTTACGTCAGAACATAGAATTTATATCAAAAGTCTGAAGTTGAATATCCTTTAGTGTCAATCATTGCGAAGATGCTCAAGTGATTACCATAATTGCCCTTTGTTACTTTAATTATAAGTCTCTTATAGTGTGTCTTTCTATGTTGTGATGTTACACTATTGTTTCAGGTTAGGGTGAAGGTTGGCGCCTATTAAAATGTTTAAACCCGTTGCATTTGTTTGCACCTGTCCTAAGTCAGGAACCTGATGTTCAGTGGTTGTCGTTTGTTGATGTGGTTCATAAGTGTTTCTCTATTTTTATATAGACTAGACCATTGGTTTTCCTGTTTGAATGGTTTTAAACAAGTCATTTTTGGGGCCCTTTATAGCTTGCTGTTCGGTGTGAGCTAAGGCTCCGTGTTGAAGGTTGTACTTTGACCTATAATGGTTTACTTGTACAAATTGTGACTTGGATGGAGAGTTGTCTCATTGGCACTCATACCACATCTTCTTGTAGATAAGAAAAAAATGTCCGGCTGGCTCAAATATTTATTGGAAGCCCTCACCTATATCCATGTTATTTAGACTCTGTTAAATAGTTATCTAATTGGCAGTCATACGACATCTTCTCAATTTTTTATTACACATATATGGTTTTCTACTCTAAACATACGTACCTAGCGGAAGCTCTGAAGAACAATTGTATGAGATAATACAATATAAACAGTGGTATAGCAGCTAATATAAAATATGGTGTGGTTATAGTATTAACAATCACAGCACATAGTGTGGTAAATAAACAGCCTAGGAAGTTATCCAAAATATTGGGTAGTTTCTGAAAAACAAAATAATATCATATTACTTCATGAATACTGTCATTCATTTTCGTGGGTATCAATTTTCGTGGATGGAGGAAAAGTATTTTCATCAACTCTGTAATTTGTTGCTTTGCCAATATATGCATATTTTAGTTTCCTGTGTATAATTTGGAGTTTAGTATGACGTCCATTATCACTGAACTAGTATACATATTTGTTTAGGGGCCAGCTGAAGGACGCCTTCGGGTGCGGGAGTTTCTCGCTGCATTGAAGACCCATTGGTGGCCTTTGGCTGTTGTCTGCTCTATGGTCGGTTGTTGTCTCTTTGACACATTCCCCATTTCCATTTTCAATCTTATATAAGTTTACAGGGGACTTGTACTTCATTGAACACTTAAATTTTTGGTTGAGCTATATCTAAGAAATCCACTAAAATTTGCACCTTATGAATAGTAATGAATCTACAGTAAAAGAAACAAATGGTATATATTTTTATTAAGAGGTATTGTTTGGTATCAATATATATTATTGTCTTAAATTACAATTGACATTCTATCAAGAAAGTATTTCCAAATATTCCTTTAATATTAAACCTCTTCATTTTATTTAAAAAACTAAAATTATTGGCAACATCAAAGTTTACCGGTACTTAAAAAATGATATCTAGTTCAGAAGCATATTTCATAGGGTGTGATACTCAATTTACATAATAGTATTTTGTTAGTTTAAGGTGGTACCTAACACTACAGGGAGATAACTATGTAAAATCAGCTAAACGTTTTAATTACGTTGTATTGTTAAGGAAATATTAAGATTCTCAATGATTAAAATTAGTGTTTGTCAAACTGCTATATATCCAATGAAATTTTTCCGAGAAAGTGATTGGTTAAAGTTTTTTGAAATGTTTATATTTTTTTCAAAGGGTCAAAGTAAATATTTTGTCAAAATTTTATGAAAATTAAACGAGCCAAATTGATTTTAGTCAAGGTGTTGAGTACCACCTTAAACATATTTTATTGTTGAAAATGACAAATGGGTCAGACAGAAGATTTACAACTTAGTAACATCTTCTTCAAAACAATAAGAAATATACACATTAATTAATGAAAGCATATAATAGTTTATTCTAACAAATAATTAAGCATAAACACATGAAAACAAAATGAAACTTGTTGAAACGAATCAATGAATTTAATTGAGTGCCTTTTTCTTTTACAATATAAATAAAAACAAACACACTGAATTGTCAGTCTGTAATTATTCATTATCTATGATGATTCCAACAATAAAATTCATAACCTGACTGCATACATGTAAAGATAGCATTCTGTAACAGAAAATTTGATTGGTTGAAGGAAAAGGATTCATCAAAATGTCAACCAAACCTTAGAACAATGAATTATCTATATATGTGGCTGATATTATTAAAATAATAAATTACCTGATCTACTTGTCCCATATCATTAGAAAATCTGTTGATAATTCTTCCACTTGGATTTGTGTCAAAGAATCTGCAAAATGATGATTATATATTATTGCAATTACACTTGAGTGTGTACTTTCAGTGAAGAAATCTCTGGAGCCTTTAACTCTGCGATTGTTGTTTGTTGCTGTATATCAATTTTGTTTTTTCGTGTTTTATTTTGTACATAAATCATGTCATTAGTTTTTTTATAGCTTGCTATGTGGTATGGGTTTTTCTCAGTGTTGACAGCCGTAGAGTAACCTATAGTTTCTTACTTTCTACATCAATAGGTCTCTGGTAGAGAGTTGTTTCATTAGCAATCATACCACATCTTCTTGTTTTTATATGGTTTGCTTGCTTGTAATCTAAACCATAAACTCTTTACTAGCTATTGTAAACGAAAAAAACCAACTAGTCATACAGTTACTTTCATGAGGGTCTGAATAGGGTTTATAGGATAGAGAATGAAGGATAAAAAATAAAAAATAATCAGCACAAAATATAAAGAATAATGGGGTGCTAAAATATAAAAAAAATAGAGAATAATGGTAAAAATAAACAGCTGCGCCTTGAACGCATGATACGCCTGTCACTTTTTCAAAGAATAATGTTTCATAACTCGTCAATATCATATCAGAAATTTACAAAAAACTAAAGGGAGGTTATCTTAATAAATATAAACCAGTCACCAAAGCTTCATGAAAACTGCTCAAAGCACTTTTCAGTTATCGTCCGAAAACTGGAAAATCCCCCTTTTTTTAATGAATAAAACCCCATATAAACTCAGAAACGTAAAATCTAAAAATTTCATCAATCTAAGTAAAGGGAGCTCACATCAATAGATATAAATAATTCATCAAAGTCTCATGAAAACTGCTCCAAGCATTTTTGAATTATTGTTTGGAAACGTGATAAACACCCTTTTTTAATTAATAAAACCCCAAAACTCGGAAACTTAAAATCTAACATTTATAAAAATTGAAAGGGATCTCATGTCAATAGATATAAACAATTCACCAAAGTTTCATGAAAACTGCATAAAGCATTTTTGAGTTATTGCCCGAAAACTTGAAAAATCCCCCTTTTTTAAGGAATAACACCCTCTAACTCAGAAATGTAAAATCTAAAATTTATAAAAATTGAAAGGGAACTCACGTCAATAGATATTAACAGTTTACCATGGTTTCATGCTAATTGGTTAAAGCCTTTTTGAGTTATTGTACGACATGTTGACGACGGACGGATGGATGGACAGACGGAAGGACGGACAACAGTATACCATAATACGTCCCGTAAAAGGGCAAATAAAAATAAGAATAGAAAATAATGGCCTGAAAAATAAAGAATACTGTAATGAAGACCTCCGATCCAGACTCTCTACCATCATGTTTGTGTTAGGCCAACTAAAATTAATTAGTAGATTTTCATCCAGATTTTTTTTTTAAATTGGGCGGGTGGGAGGATTTTATTTTTTAATTTTTGTTTCCTCCTAAACCCTTTTGTAACGTGTTGTTCATATACAATGGTAATAATAAGCTTATATCATGTATATATAAGGAATTCTAAATTATTTTCAAATTCTTAAATTAATATTTCTGATTGGCAACCACTGTTCTACATGTAATGGCGGCTGGCTGCTTTAGAAACCTATTTTTAATAAATAGCAAAAAACGTGGAGAAATGTTCTCTTTTAGACTGCTTACATCAAATTTATTTTTCTTTTAAGCTATGATTTGTAGTGCCCATAAAATGAAGCATATATGCATTAGTATGCAACACAAATATTATGAGTACAGTGTGAAATGAAAACTCAAAATGTGTTGAAAATACTAGGGTTGATGCGTTGAAGATTCTTATGCAAGGTGGAAACATAGTAAGTGTAAAACATGAACTGAACCAAAAAGTAGAAGTTGTTTAATGACTCTATTAAGGGGATGGGGACAGAGGATGTTTGCTGTTTGTCAACAAAAACGACAGCCTTGGGGTAAATTTAAGGGCTTGCTATAATACATATTGTACGTTGGCCGACTCTTTGTACTCAATATACGGTCATAAATCGCACAAATTTGTGCTTGTGTCAATTACTTTATTCCAGTAATGTTTTTGACTCTGGTTTTTGTACCAATAGGTTCCACAATTCTTGTGCTTTGGATATCATTCACAGTCCAAATTTCCTGACACAAAGTCATTGTATAAATAAAAAATCCACGGTTTTCTAATCACTGAAATTTGTGAATACTGCGATTAGCGTTCTTAGACACCACCTATTATTCGTAACCCTAATATTTCATGCGCTTCTAGTAATCAATCTATATTCTCAGAAGATAATGTTGTCATTATTGAGCAGCAGAAATGTTGACTTAATCATTTTGGTTATATCATGTATATTACTCGAAGAAATACGGAAACAGAAATTTGAAACAGGAAGTTTTGAATGAAACAAAATTATTGGCAGTTACCCATTACGGAAATAAAAAAAATACAGAAATCGTAAATTTAAAAAAAAAATTAAAAATCAGGGCAGGAGGGGCAGGCCGGAATGAAAATCTATCAATTAATTTGAATTGGCCTTATACTGATTTAATGGCCAAGCTGGAAAACAAGCAAACCTAACATAAATTTTTTTTCTACACAATTCTCTATGCACACTGTAAAAAAGCATCAGTATTGTATATGATTGTATATTGTATGGTTATCAAATAATATTCAATGAAAGGGCTCTTAGCTTAATTTAGCTGTTCTTGCTGATCAATTAACAATAAATCAAATCAATTTCAAAGCATTACATATTCCAGAAAAAAATTGTAAGGGTTAGGTTGGAGGGTTAGAGAACACTTTTTCCATACCCCATCACCCATATTTTTTTCATTAGTAACAGATTTGTGTTTGCTTCCAACCCTATCTAATACCCACAGAATAAAGTATCATGTGTTATCCCTCCCATACAGTTATTCTTGGATTTTATTTTTTGAATATAATTAGCAATCAATCACTAATTATTATAATAACATTAATCAACATTATTTTTGTCATCAAAGTGCACAATAATAAGATAGGGCCACCTTTAAAAAAATTTTGTTCAATGTTGCCTACCCATGCCTTCTGGGTTGGGTAGATAGGTAGAGATTTTATTTATTTTTGGCCAACAACATAAGATACATGTTTTGGACAAGAAAACGAAGTTAGAGTAGGAAAAAAAATTGAACCGATTTGAATCATAGAATTTGTTCGGGTAGGAAGCTTTTTAGGTGGATAGGAAGGCGACATCAAACAATCAAAATTTTATTTTTGGCCTAGTATATGAGAATTCTTACCTCCCAGGCACATGCAGAATTGTATCTAACATCAATTTGTGTAGATTTTTAGATGCCCTAATCCCAACAACATAGAGCACAAGGCCAGCCAATAAAGCTGCCATGATCCCACTAATAGATAATGCCACATAGATATTGGTGTAATAAGTGTTGTTAAATACCTGAAAATACAGTAAAACTAATAAACATGCAATCATGACTGTCCATAAATTGTAATTCTATATACAGAAAAAAACTGCTCAAATAAAATAGAGGAAAAAATGGTAAAAAGAAAATAGAGAAAATACCGTTAAAAGAAATATAGAGAATACCTGCAAAAGAAATTTCTTCAATCTCCTTTGTACTGTTAATTCTATTCTTTCATAATTTTTTATTAGTTTTAAGTTCATGCACTGGTAAAAATATGATGATTTACGCTGGATTCTAATTAAAAACTTTTTATTAGCAGAAAAGAAACTACTGTCCTGATTTCTTGAGCATCAGATATCAGCCCAAGATTTTGGTCACTATATCTTTAGTTTTCTGTGTAAAATTCTGTGTATTTTTGTTCTTTTCATCTTTTTTTTTTGTGTTGTCTTTCTTACTCACTCTTTCTCAGTCTCATGATTATTGATTGCCCTATCGTAATTTTCTATGTTGTTGCAGTATTTTACATAAAAAATACAGTTTGTAACTTAAGCTATAGATTTAAGTTTTATCAGTCATATGCTGCACTATAACATGCATTTTGTTCCAATTCAAAACTAAGAAATTTTTTCATAAAGTGATTTTGACGGTGATACAGCAGTATTTGTTAAGATTTCTTAGGCAGATACAATTTATTATTTGTTAAGATTTCTTAGGCAGATACAATTTATAATATGTTAAATAACCAAACAGCTGTGTTATTTCAAGCATAGATGTTGTGTGATTGCAAATAATTCTGTGCAATAAGGTGCTTGAGGTTATCACTAACTTGCAGAGCAGTTATAAATTTTTCTCCATACTTCACTGTGACATTCAGATGAAGACCAGCAATCATAGCATTGTTTCTTTGCTCTTGATTTTTCATATTTTATAGTGATTATGTGTATAAATCAATTCAAATTTGGTAAATTCCGTTTTTGAAACGTTCAATATGCAAATAAGTACACTATACAAAATTTTCCTTAAAACAAAAAAAAAGTCACATGATCAATATATTCCCAGCAGTTATCTCCCCTCAGATTAACTTACAGGTGCAGTCATATTGGTGCTATTTCCTAGCTGCTGGAATGCTTTTAGTTGTGTATTAAACTCTGTAGAATCTTCACTCCACACTGACAGCCAGAAATTACTACCGACTAACAAAGCATAATAGGATACCAGTAAGGACAGTACCAGTAAAACACAACCAGTACCGCAGGCTTTGACATAATGTAAGTATACAATGGCCTTCACTGCTCCTTTCTCTTGGTGCTCTTTCTTTATTAATGTCCCGTCTTTTTCAGCAGTATTGTTCTTCAATGGTGAAGCTATAAAATAAATCTTTATCAATAAGAAAACTATTAAAAAAAAAATCAATCTTTAAATTTTATTTTTTTTTGGTTGTTGTCAAAATAGCCTTGTTTCAAATCTATGTTCATATCCCTACCAGTCATTTTAACCTAATCTTTATTTCCAAGGTATGTGTTAGAGCTTTGAAATGACAAATTCATCGTAAAATAACTGTTTTTAGTGAAAAAACATAAAGGGTATGTGTTGCCAAAAGACAAATTTATGGTAAACAAGAATGTGTCCATAGTACACAGATGCCCCACTCGCACTATCATTTTCTATGTTCAGTGTTCAGTGGACCTTGAAATTGGGGTCAAAACTCTAATTTGTCATTTAAATCAGAAAGATCATATCATAGGGAACATGTATACTAAGTTTCAAGTTGATTGGACTTCAACTTCATCAAAAAAAGCTGTTTCACACAATCCCATTTTCATGTTCAATGAACCGTAAAATTTGGACTGAAACCCAAATTTGCCATACTTTTTAGAAATTCCCACTCATAATGACTATATATGCAAAGTTACAAGTGGATGCAACTATAACTTCATCATAAACTACCTTGACCAAAAACTTTAACCTGACACGGGACAGACGGACGAACGGACGGATGAACGAACGTATGAACAAACGAACCGACACACAGACCAGAAAACATAATGCCCCTACTACTATCGTAGGTGGGGCATAAAAATGTATTTTAATTTAGTTACTTATGTTTTAAAGAAACTTTGTTGTAGCAAACAGCAGGGCACTATTTCATTATACAAATAAATAAATGAAAATTAAACAAATCTATGGATGAATTTTCTTTCAAATTACGATGACCTGACATATAAAGCACAAATGATGCTGTCATTGTACAGTTAAGCATGATCACAAATAATCAAAAAACCATTGCAATAAGCCGATTTTTCCTTCAGAAAAACTGATTAAAAAGATCTTCCTTTGATTTTTGTTCTGTGCGTGTAAGAATTTTGTGGCAAGAATAAGCCATGTCCTTTTTCCCGTTTAATTTCATTCCCAAAAGGTACACATCTATGAACCTACTGTAAACCAACTAATTTGGAAAGGCATTTAAATTCGCCAATTTAGGAGTTGAAAAATAATATTATTTAAACTGTCTAAATTTGTAAAGCTTGACCTTCCCTTATAAAATACATCAAGAAAATTAGAAAATCGCCATGAACTCGGCTAGAAATGGCAATTTGCGATGGCAAAATAAAGTATCCATGAAAATTAGTCGGTAACGATTGATCAAACCTTCAGATTCCTGGTCATTTTCTTCAATGTCTTGTTCCTTAAATTCTATAACTGGTTCCTCTTCTTCTTCATTGTAAGAAAACTGTGATAGCTGACGACCTAATGTATTGGAACTGAACGACTGAAATATACAGTATATTCAAATAATTAATTTTGCTTTAGGTGTTGAAAAAAATATGTTTTTTGGTGATGTATATTTTCATAGAAGTATTGGAACCAGTGGTTAATAATTATTGGAGCAAGCCAAATGAAAATAATTTACTTTGCATTTTCCAACATAGCATTGTTTCTAGGTTTTATTTTTCATAATGCATTCCAACTAACAGAATGAAACATGTGTTGCTGCATATCTCAATTTTGTTAACTTTGATTTTGGTGTAGAGAAGAAAATAAATTCTTAAAGTCTCCACTCAAACATTTTTGTTTCAAATTTTAGTGTTTCTTTTTCTGCAGGTCACATAACTTGTGTGAGTTAATTGTGAACATTTAATTCTTACATATCTATGAACCTTAATAGCAAAAAAAGAATATTGAAATTGTCACGAATAATTGCTCCCTTTACAATTAGTGATCCGTTTAGATATATCTAATAAATAGTTTTCATGGACTTCAGCATTCTGTTTAGAGTATACTCTGTTTGAATAATTCAGACAGTGAAAATATGAAATTTGAAATATGAAAATCTGAGGCCTATTCTTTGAAATTATTTCCTTACAAAAATAGTGACCTAAATTGTCACCCGAATCAACCTTTGTTAAAAAAATTAATTTCAACATACTTTTAGCTTTTTTAGCTACAAATACTGCACTAAAGTAGAGAATATGATCTGATGCAATAATTAAACGAAATATGATTCAATTTTTCACAATGACAACAAAATATTTGAGTGCACAAAAGGTTATTCAATTTTAAGATGTGAATTAATTTAGTGAACTGTAATTATCAAACTTTTCAAAGGAGAAGGTCCGGTAAGGACTAGTTTTGGCCTAAAAAACGAAGTACATCTGATGAAAGATTTCTGACATTTTTTAAACACTTAAGTGTCTACTTCAGTCGATTCAATTTGTTTATGTCAAAGATTTGAACTGATTTGGTCATTAAAGACGCTCAAATTCAGGCTTCAATATAAAAAATCTATCAAATATGCCATAAAACGTCACTTTTTAGATGGTTTTTGTCTAAAATGTAAGTGGCCGCATTCGTGTTCAGTCTCAACCTTTATATATGTTTTGTATTATCATCAAATACAACATATATTTAAATATAAAGCCTGAACACAAATGCGGCCACTTCCATTTTAGACAAAAACCGTCTTAAAATTAGCACAAATGCTAAAATTGTGATGATTTCAGTAATTTTGCATGAATTTATGATGCTAGTACCTGATACATGTGCATTGTATTGTCAAAAACAGCCCATTTTTATGGATAATAAGTATTCTACTTTCCAATAATTACATAAGATGTATGTTTCATTATAATACGTTATTCTGATTGGCTACACTGCAATCTCGCGTTATTCCTTAATCAACTTCATTACAAAATAAAATTTATCATTCATTATGACACGAGGTCCCACAATAAAGTGCACAGGTAAATTAAATAAAAACTTGATAAAAATCGTGTTTTCATGATCCTAGCTAAAAAATGTAATTATAAGTATTGAATGCCTCTTTTTGTAACTTCATAGGGTTGTAAAAGCGTTGACCGTGCGCACATTTTTAGAATGAAGCTCTTCCGCGCTTCATACAAAATGTACTTCGGTCAATGCTTTTACACCCCAATGACGTTACAAAAAGAAGCATTCAATTCTTAAATAAATAGCTAAAAGTTTACATTACAACTAATTTGTAAAAATGCTATATTTTGGGGCCAAAAAGGGGTCTTACCTGGCCTACTCCTTTCTGTCATTATCTGACAAACGGATTTACTTAATCGAAATATGTCCATCAACAATATAACTTTTTTTTTTTAATTAAAATATTGCGAGTGGATAAATGTTGCAGTCATGATGGTAAAGTGGATGAAACAGGTTTCTCTCATAATTCAATGGAAAATAATGAATTCAAAGTTCCCAATGAACTTGACAGGAAATTACACAAGACAAATTTAAAATGTCTGGTTTAACAAACTGGTAAGAACCAGTTTAAATGAATACAAAATTAGAGAAAAAGAAATATAAATTTATAATACATGTATCATTGAATATGATTCAAGAGATTGAATTTATATAATTGAATAAGATTACAACCATCAATATGCATGCAACATTAAGGCAGTTTTGGACAATTTGACAAAAACAAATCATAATCGATTATAGAAAATAATCATATTTTATACTTTTGTTTGTTATCAATTTATTTACAAATATATTGGCTACCCATGTTAAAATGAGCATAGCATATGGCATTAAAGAATTATTTCTTTATCAATTAATCTGTCATGATTTAACACAGTAAAGAATTAGAGAGTTGTCATGATTTGATACAGTATTGAATTAGAGAGATCCAAATGACCAAGTCACATAACAACACCTCGTAGCTGGTTAAGAAAAAAAAAATAGATTAATTGGATTGCAATAAACAGTACACCACAGAAAACATGCATCTTTGTACAATATCTTTCATCACTCATAATCATTTACCTTGGATTGAGACTCGTTCTGTAAAATACAACTGTTATATAAGGTGCATGCTAGTAAGGGTCCTATTTAATGATTTTCAATTTAAATTTTCATAAAAAATTTAAGTAACAAAATTATTTTTGAATCAAGCTATGGTGCCCAATAAAAGATGGATTCATAGTTATAATCTTTCACACATAATTAGTTTCCCAATTAGAAAATCATCATTCAATTACAAAACATGTAAAATATCAAATAAATTCATTCAAAAAGTTTTAAAAAATAATCTCTTTTCATTTAACGATTACGATTAAACATTTAGTAAAGATACTTTAAATTTTACAATAAATATTATCAAAATTAGGTTCTTGTATCATGTGTATTCTGCTTAACTTTTGTATCAATTAATAAAGTTATCAAAGGAATAAAACAAATCTTCCCCTTGATTGGCTACTCCTGCTCACACTGAAACAGTGGACACTGGTCAATACATGTATCAAGAAAACATATTGTTTATGAGCGTGTCAGTGAATTTTCCTGGTCAACACTACAAGAACTTTTTAATCATTGATAACCATTGAAATGGAAATTGCTGAGGTTGAACTCATGATCAGGAAAATATAAAGTAAAAATAATTAAAAATAAAATGCTTCGCTGGGCGCAGCTTGATACGACCGCAGAGGTCGAACCCTGAACAGTTGGGGCAAGTATGGACACAACATTCAAGCTTGATACAGCTCTGAATTTGGATTGTGATTAAATATTTGACACAGCATAGGTTTCTGACACACAAAGAATGTGGTCTAAGAACTTCAATTTTTTTAATTTACCTATTATGGTCCAATGTCCAAAATCAAAATACATGGTTAGATTCAGCATATCAAAGAACCCCATATATTCAATTTTTGTTGAAATCAAACAAAGTTTAATTTTGGACCCCAACTTGGACAAACTTGAAAACTGGTCCCATAATCAAAAATCTAAACACATGTTTAGATTCAGCATATCAAAGTACCCGAAGAATTCAATTTTTGTTAAAATCAAACTAAGTTTAATTTTGGACCCTTTGGACCTTAATGTAGACAAATTTAAAAAACGGGACCCAAAATTAAAAATCTAAAAACACGGTTAGATTTGGCATATCAAAGAACCCCAATTATTCAATTTTTGATGAAATCAAACAAAGTTTAATTTTGGACCCTTTTGACCTCAATATGAACCAATTTGATAGCGGGCCCACAAATAAAAAATCTAAATACATGGTAAGATTCAGCATATCAAAGAACCCCATATATTCAATTTTTGTTGAAATCAAACAAAGTTTAATTTTGGACCCCAATTTGGACCAACTTGAAAACTGGGCCAAAAATCTAAAATCTAAATACATGTTAAGATTCAGCATATCAAAGAACCCCATATATTCAATTTTTGTTGAAATCAAACAAAGTTTAATTTTGGACCCCAACTTGAAAACTGGGCCCATAATCAAAAATCTAAACACATGTTTAGATTCAGCATATCAAAGAACCCCAAGAATTCATTTTTTGTTAAAATCAAACTAAGTTTAATTTTGGACCCTTTGGACCTTAATGTAGACCAATTTAAAAAACGGGACCCAAAATTAAAAATCTAAATACACGGTTAGATTCGGCATATCAAAGAACCCCAATTATTCAATTTTTGATGAAATCAAACAAAGTTAAATTTTGGACCCTTTGGACCTCAATGTGGACCAATTTAAAAACGGGGCCCAAAATCCAAAAACTTAATACACGGTTAGATTCAGCATATTAAAGAACCCCAAGAATTCAAGAATAAAACCCCATTGAAATTGATCAAGAAATAAGCAATTTATACGAAGTATCTTCTTTTGCACAATACTGTGCAATTGAATATTTCTTGCTATTGCGCAATACTGTACAATTGACAATTTCTTGCTATTGCGCAATATTGTGCTATTGGATATTTCTTGCTATTGCGCAATACTGTGCAATTGAAGATTTCTTGCTATTGCGCAATACTGCGCAATTGAAGATTTCTTGCTATTGTGCAATACTGTGCAATTGAAAATTTCTTGCTATTGCACAATACTTATTATATAATAATTTACACATCCTGTTTGGTGTATATCTCCTACCATATCATTATTATTTGCTTTTAAATATAAATCAGAAATAACCAACTTAAAATGGAAAATTTTAAAAGAAAAAAAAAAGGAAAAAAAGAAAAAAAAAAAAAGAAAAAATCCCCCCCCCCCAAATTTTTTGAACCCCCTTATGATTCATCACCCCCAAACTCAATCCCAGCCTTCCCTTTGTGGTATGGTACCTTGCAGTACAATTTCAGAGAGATCCATACACTTGAACACAAGTTATTGTCTGGAAACTAGAAAAATGCTTATTTTTGGCCCCTTTTTGGCCCCCAATTCCTAAACGTTTCGGGCAATTACCCCCAAACTCAATTCCAGCTTTCCCTTTGTGATATGGAACCTTGTAGTACAATTTCAGAAATATCCAAACACTTACACACAAGTTATTGTCATGAAACTAGAAAAATGCTTGTTTTTTGCCCCTTTTTTGGCCCCTAATTCCTAAAATTTTGAGGCAATTACCCCCAAAATCAATTACAGCCTTCCCTTTGTGATATGGAACCTTGTGGTACAATGTCAGAGAGATCCATACACTTACACACAAGTTATTGTCTGAAAGTTACAAAAATGCTTATTTTTGGCCCCTTTTTGGCCCCTAATTCCTTAACTGTTGGTACCATAACCCCCAAAATCAATCCCAACCTTCCTTTCGTGGTATTGAACCTTATGGTGAAATTTCATGGAGATCCATTCACTTAAACTAAAGTTAGAGTGCGAAAACCAATGTGTCTTCGGACGACGCCAGACGACGCCGGACGACAACGACGACGACGACAACGACGACGACGACGCCAACGTCATACCAATATACGACCAAAAAATTTTTAATTTTTGCGGTCGTATAAAAAGCTGTTTTCTTGAAAAATTTTAATTTCAAAATCTTTTTTTTTTTAAAGCTTCAATTACTTTCTGGAGAGTGTTTGCCAAACAGATGAATAATTTCTTCTTCTACTCAAAGCACATGCCTCTTGTGTTATTATTCTATTTTTTTTTTCAAAAGTAATTCTTGATTCAAATATTGGAATTAAAAAAAAAAATGCAAAAATCTAATAAGCAAATCCAAACTAGCCTAAGAAGCTATATATTTATTTTTTATATAGACTTACAACTGAAGATTGATGTTGAAGTTCAGTAATACTTGGATAGCTATGTTTTCTACGCTCCAAGTGAGGACTCCCCACTCTCATTTCTGTAGAACTCTCTGATGGTCGCTCACTCTCTCTGTAAAGACAGAAAAAACAACTGTGTCAAATGAATTATTGATAACATTGGATAATATAGAAACTAAGTCAAAATAAAGCACCCATGATGCATGATGATGGTGGTTGGTGTTTAATATCCAATGGAAACTAACAAGTATAGTGGGGGAGGGAATGAAATTATTTGAAATAAATTTGGAATTATGCTTTCGGCAAATGATTGAAAAGAAGAAAATAAGAATTCTATACCCTGCTCACACTATTATAATTCCATGTTCAGGGAATCACAAAATATAGGTCAAAACTCTTAGTATGTTTACCTTTTTAAAAGTAAATAATAAAACATAAAGGAATACAAACCTAGGTTCAATGGTTGATGCTTCCCTGAGAGCGTTCCTCCAAGACTCGTACAATTCTGGATTGACCTTTTTAACATCATGTAGTTTACCCTGATATTGTATGCCACCTTCTTTCATTACAATTACCTGTTGAGAAACAAAATAATTGAAAATTAACTTTTTTATTGGTACATGTATCATCTTTAATTTTTTGGGGTAAAAAATAAATAGCCTATCTTTTTGTTTCACTGATTCCCATTAAATTATACTTACTTAAATACCTTCTTTTACAGCTGAATTACTTCATTGTGTACTTTAGAAATAAAAATTAAGTTTTGTTGTTTAATTTGTTGGTGAACAAGATATTTTTGGTAGCTATTGTAAATATAGAAACAAACGGGGTCGTGCAGGTTTTTATCCATCCTTTTTTTTAACCTGCCCTATGACTTGATTGGCTAGAAATATCTATCATTGCTATTTTTAAAAATATAAAAAAATTTAAAGTAATATTGACATTATTGTCAAATGTCATCCAAGCAATCAAGTCAACTTATTATTATTAACAGTATTGTTAGTTGTACACACTACACACTCAAGTTAATATGCTGCAATCAAAATATGTGTTTGCATGTTGTTTTTTTTTATGGTAGCCACAAATACATATGATTATAACTCTTACTATCACAATTTACAACACTCTATTCTAACTTATTTGTATTCAGTGTTAGTTTTCAGACAAGTAAAAGCCTATGTTACTATTGAGGAAAAGAAAGAGATAAAAAGATATGGTTCATATGTAAAAATTATCAAAAATACACTTTCTGAAACCAGGTAAAATTGAAAAGCATGTACTACAAACCAGCAAAATTGTCACTGATTTCTGTCTGTCATATTTGTTTTTTTGGTTTATAGTTTTAGCATAAATCTGGCCATTTTATAGCTTACTATACAGTATGGTTTTGCTCATTGTTGGATAATTGCTTACATCTCTGGTATATAGTTGTCTTATTTGCAATCATCATGATCATTGCAGATCTTCTTATTTTTTTATAAAATACAAGAAATAGCAATGGTCCAAACTGGTTTAAACTTGACTATGTTGAATTTGAAGTGGTAGAGACTGAGACTCGTTATTAAGTTTTGTCAAAATAAATGAAGAAAAAATCAGACTTTTACATATTCTAGAATACCATTCCAGTAAAGTCATGCACAAAATGCCTGTCTATTCAGAATCATCTCAGCTTGGAGAATGTCATTAAAGCACTTTCAATGTCTCTTTCTTTTTATTTGGCCTTTTAATTAACTTTTTTGGTTTAAGCGTCACTGATGAGTCTTTTGTAGACAAAACGCACATCTGATTCTTTTTATACTTCTGGCAGGCAAATGCAACATTCCCCATTTCATTTTTTCTATGAAAACACTGCACTTCCTTAAAAAAATTTCCTTAAGTACAAGGTACTACGTCAAAGTGATACCCTCTTCAAGCATGCAGAACCTACACTTACATGACTAGCATAACTGAGGCATTGTAGTTGATGTGTGACTAGGATTACTGTAGAACCTACACTAACATGGCTAGCATAACTGAGGTATTGTAGTTGATGTGGGACTAGGATTACTGTAAAACCTACACTTACATGCCTAGCATAACTGACGGGTGACTAGAATTACTGTAGAACCTACACTTACATGACTAGCATAACTGATGGGTGACTAGAATTACTGTGGAACCTACACTTACATGACTAGCATAACCGAGGTATTGTAGTTGATGTGTGACTAGAATTACTGTAGCACCTACACTAACCAACATTCCCCATGTGAAATTATAAAATTGTTTTGAATAAACATTGAATGACAAAATTTCTTCTCATGTGACGTTTACATTTTCTGACGTCAGACACGCAAAGCAATGAATGTGGTTTTCAATTTGATAGATGCTTTTGTGCTTTTTTGTAAATAATTGTTTGTTTTGATATTGTAACACAGTGATGACTGCTGTGCCCATATTTTGACTATTTATTTATAATGTCTGTTTTGTTCACACATCGTTGTAAATATAACGGAATTTGATGAGACTGTCGTACAAGTGAGAGGTTTAGCGCTATAAAACCAGGTTCAATCCACCATTTTCTACATTTGAAAATGCCTGTACCAAGTCAGGAATATGACAGTTGTTGTCCATTCGTTTGATGTGTTTTGTCATTTGATTTTGCCATGTGATTAGGGACTTTCCGATTGAATTTTCCTCAGAGTTTGGTATTTTTGTGATTTTACTTTTTACATGACTAGCATAACTGAGGTATTGTAGTTGATGTTTGACTAGGATTACTGTAGCACCTACACTTACATGACTAGCATAACTGAGGTATTGTAGTTGATGTGTGACTAGAATTACTGTAGAACCTAAACTCACATGACTAGCATAACTGAGGTATTGTAGTTGATGTGTGACTAGAATTACTGTAGAACCTAAACTCACATGACTAGCATAACTGAGGTATTGTAGTTGATGTGTGAGTAGAATTACTGTAGAACCTACATATACACTTACATGACTAGCATAACTGAGGTATTGTAGTTGATGTGTGACTAGGATTACTGTAGAACCTACACTTATTTGACTAGCATAACTGAGGTATTGTAGTTGATGTGTGACTAGGATTACTGTAGAACCTACACTTACATGACTAGCATAACTGAGGTATTGTAGTTGATGTGTGACTAGGATTACTGTAGAACCTACACTTACATGACTAGCATAACTGAGGTATTGTAGTTGATGTGTGACAAGAATTACTGTCCTCTTCTTCTTCAACATACGATTCAAAATGGCTTCCTCGAACACATGTTTCCCTACATGAGCATCCAATGCAGAAAATGGATCATCCTGTGAAATAAATATTTAAGTTACAGAACAATTCATTACCCTGTTAATCAATTTCTTTTTAATATAAATCTTATTTTAAGAAAGGTTTCTAAAAAAATGTAAGGAGTTGAAACCTAATATCAGGGCTCACGTTACCAGGCGACTGGGGCAAAGAAGTCGCTTTCCCGTCTGTCACTTCGCTTTGCCCGACCATCAAAAGCGAAAACAAGTAGCTTTCAAATTTGCGCTAGTCACTTTTAATCGCCTGCCGATTTTTTGCAGTAAATTGGTAAAAAGTTCCAATGAAATCCGTGAAAAATCAATATTTATATTGAAATGCATTAAAATCCCTGAAATGTTTCTGTTTCTGTGTCAACTAAACAAAAAACAGACTTGTTAGCATCAAACGAGTATGCAGACATTGTTTATCAAAGGGGAATAACAAGTAGGTGTTTGATACTAAACTAATAAAAATTATATGTGCATGTGCAACCGCAAGTAAATCTAATGTAAAATCAATCTGAACTAACCTGTTTCATGTCTGCTGAATAAAATCATTTATCATTTTGTACAGTGTATTTACAAGTTTTTAGACTGATCTGAAATTGTCTGTCATATTGTAACAGCATGTTTTGCTTTATTCTTTCTTGAAGTGAAGTGGTTTTCATAATTTTTATTGAAGATTCTTTTTTATTTATTTAAAACCCTACACATCCTTACTATGTACTGTTTTCATATTAAAGTAAGTTTTCTGGTTATCACAATTTCTTTTCTTCATATTTCAAAACATAAAATGCTTAAAATAAACACAACCTGTAAAGTTACATATAGTAAAAAGTCTCCATTGCTGCATAGTAATTCAAGAAACAAGTCCTTAAATTAAGAAACGAATGCTTCTTTTTGTAATTTTATTGGGGTGTAAAAGTGTTGCACGATCAACACTTTTACACACCAATAAAATTACAAAAAGAAGCATTCATTTCTTATAATTACATTTTAATGCTAATAAGACCACGAAAAAAAAGGTTTATCAAGTTTTTCTTTTTTGTGGAAGCACGTGTTATCACGAATGTAACATTTCATTTTGATATGAAGTTTAATTTTTGAATGACGTGAGACTGTTGTCAGCCAATCAAACTAACCAATTCTCGTGAAATATACATGTAATGTAATTATTGCACTTTATTCCTATAAATATTTAGTCACATAAAGTTTTGTAAGACAGCTTTCTGCAAATTGTGTTCAAAGTTATCTTACCAATAAAACTGTATCAGCTTTTGAGTATAAGGCTCTAGCAATACTTATTCTTTGTTTCTGGCCTCCACTAAGATTTATACCCTATAAAATGAAACGTAAAAACATAATTAAAAGTCTGTGACTTTTTGTTGCAACATTATAAAATAACAAATTATGTTTACTGGTTAAAAAAACTAGACATCATTGAGATGGGAGCCATCTCTGTGGGCCCCGCTGACCTTGAACTTTGACCTAGGAAGATGTACAAACATTATGACACACCCTCTGGTGTTGGTTAATATACATGTCAAGTATAACGTATGAAATTATAACGTTTCTCTGGATATAGAGCAGACACAATTTGTTACGGACGGATGAACAGACGGACAGACTGATCACTATAGGACAACCCGCCACTAGGCGGGGTCCCTAATGAAAATAACCCTTTATAAGTTTGTTGTGTCCAAAGCCCTAAAGCCAGGAACACTCATACCAAACAATTGAGAGCCAATGATGTATAACAATATTTAAATAAAACATGTTTAGATGATTTCCATTGGAGTGAGAAAAAAAAATACAATTCAAGATTTCAGTGCACAAAAATTATTTCTGGAATAAACTGCATATATCAAGGTTAAAGTACTAGCATAGAAAATAATAATCAGTGACCCAACAAAAAAATTCTGAAGTTCAACTGATGACATATTCAAAACTGTTTTCTGATAACAGGTACTTATATACTGGTATGTGTAACATTATAGTGTACAGTCTCCCTTTATCATAGCTTAATGTTTCAGACAATAAAAACTGAAAACATAACTTTAGAAAGTTCAACAATGGTTATAAATCAACAATAAACAAGAGAATATTTTTACAAAAAACGGTATCCTTAACAGATTGTTAATTACACGTATACTGAAATGTTCTTGACCTACAAGTATTTTTACTCGTACGAATTCTTGTGAAAAAAGCAGCAGGAGAATTTGACTTACCTTTTCTCCAATTTCTGTAGAATCACCAGAAGGCAACATATCTAAATCTGCCTGCAAAGCACACGAGTGAATTACACTTTTATATCTGAAAAATATCAACAAGCATGGTATTGTTCATAATATAGATATCTAAATCTGCCTTCAAAGCACACGAGTGAATTACACTTTTATATCTGAAAAACATCAACAAGCATGGTATTGTTCATAATATAGATATCTAAATCTGCCTTCAAAGCACACGAGTGAATTACACTTTTATATCTGAAAAACATCAACAAGCATGGTATTGTTCATGATATAGATATCTAAATCTGGCAGAAAAAGCACACAATGCATTTACAAAAGGAGGTTTTAATTATTTCTGTGAAAAATATCAACATCTAATAAGTTTCAGATACTTCTGATTCAACGGTAACTTTGTTATATATTTCATCCCAAATTCTTGACCTTATCACATATCATGAAGCTTGTAATAGTGACCTATCTAAGTGGCTAATCTCATCCACTCATTACATAGTATTTAAAAAGTGACCACCCCTCCCCTGAGGTATATACATGATTTTTTTTTAAATAAAAGTAACTCATCTGTTAAAGAGACATTCCTAGGTAATTATAAGGAAGTGGCATTTACTAGGCTATTTGGTATGTTGTTTGGGATATTTGAATTTTATATAGTACATTAGTAATTTTTCTATTTGTGGGGGTGAGAAATAAGACTTTCCTTCTCAACCTATTGATTTAATTCAAATAGCCTTAAAGTAAGTTTGATCACTTTTAATATTCAAACACTAAAAACAAGAATGTGTCAATAGTACACTGATGTCCCACTCGCACTATCATTTTCTATGTTCAGTGGACTGTGAAATTGGGGTCAAAACTCTGGCATTAAAATTAGAAAGATCATATCATAGGGAACATGTGTACTAAGTTTCAAGTTGATTGGACTTCAACTTCATCAAAAACTACCTTGACCAAAAACTTTAATCTGAAGCGGGACAGACGGACAAACTGATGAACGGACAGACGAACAGACGCACAGGCCGAAAAACATAATGCCCCTCTACTATCGTAGGTGGGGCATAAAAATACTAATATTGATGGAAGTGGCTACCATTAACTTTAGGATGTATTTGTTCACCAATAGAGCAAATTTTGATATCCACAAAAAGTAATATTTTTAACTTTTTTGTTATGAATAAAGTCTGCAAATGAAATTTTAAACAATTTCATAATGCATAAAATTTTAAATCAATGAATATTTTCACAGAAACCAAGGCTTCCAAAACGGTCATATAATCCGGAAATTTGTATAATGTCCGGTAAAAGTCCGGCTGGGCAAAGCACGAAGCGGTCATCTACTTTTTAAGTTTTCAAGGCTTTCTTATGAGACAGTCATTTTAACATAATTCACGATCTTTTTGACCCAACCTTTTGCCTTAAACAGCCACACATTTCCAGTCATAAAAGTGACATGATCATTAAGTACTATCAAAACAACCCCTACTTTAATACCTTTTCATTTTAATCAAGGCTAATTAGTTGTATTAGTTGTCGAACAGCTGAAATTTACCTGTTCAGGTGATAGGTAAACTATTTTGTACGTACACAGAATTTACGTATCCGTCTCTGGTCCATGTTTTACCATTGTCAAGATAACATCCGGTATTAGATTTAAAAACGAAAGTAAAGTTTTTGACAACGTTATTTTGCACAAATAAAGAGTCTAAGGCAGATATAAGTACGCTGATGTTGCACACTTCGAATGATGCACTGCCAATTTAACAGTTTACGTCAGAACTAAGAATTTGAATCAAAGAAAGTTTAAATTAAATAATATCGATTTTTTTTAATGTCAATCATTGGGATGGCCAACTCGGCAATTGATTACCATAGTTGCCTTTTGTTTATTTAGTCTTAAAAGAATAAAATCAGGATAATACATAAAATGTCCGGCTGGCTAAAAATAATTTTGGAAGCCCTGACCAAAACATTATATTATCCTTTCACTGAACCATGAAGTACAAACCTTCTCCATGTGTAGGGTAGACCAAACAACACATTATCCCTGAGAGTATCATGAAGTAACCATGCTTTCTGTGCTGCATAGGCTAGTTTTGATCCTCTGAAAAACAAATTAAAGTACACATGTGATCAACTATATTCAGGTTGTTACAAGAGCTATTTAAAAACTAATAACTGTTAAAATCAAAATTTCTTATCACATATTATTTCAAGACCTACATGTGTATTTAAAACATTAATCAAAATTATCCATGCAGAAATCTGGTAAATCATGGATCAAGTTATATAAATAGAACTTCTTCTTTCACACAAGCTTTTTTCTTTCAAAAGCTTACAATTTCTTCAAATAAAATCTGAATCAAATTACTCTTTAAATTGATCTATTTGAAGAGCAGTACACTACTGTTGCCTTTATCTAATTAGTTAAAACAGTAAAACCTGTATTTATTTACATACTTGTGCCAATTAACTTCTCCTTTAATTGTTAACATCTCTCCCAACATTGCACAGAGTAATGAAGTCTTTCCTGAACCCACCGATCCAACTATTATTGTCAGCTTTCCTAAAATATCAAATTCACATGTCACTCAATAGTCACAATTTATCTTGCCATTACAGCAAAATGCATTGAGTGTGTAGGCAAAGGTAATATCTTTGACTAGCTTGCTTGCTAGCTGAACCATGAAGTCATTATTAGGTTAGGTATACTAACCTCGTTTAAGAGTAGACAAGTCTGACAAAAAGCCAATCTACCTGTCTGTAGGACTAGATTACTCCGAAAAGAGGGTAGTATACCTTACCTAATAATGACTTCACGGTTCAGCTAGCAAGCAAGCTAGTCAAAGATATTACCTTTACCTACACATTCAATGCATTTTGCTGTAATAAATCTATAAATTACTTATTGGAATAAGACCAGATTTGATGCTTTTTTTTTTGGGGGGGGGGGGGGGGTGTTATTGTGTTATTGGGCTGCTGTCACATTGATTTATACCTCATGTCTCCTTTTATTTATAACCGAGGCCACCAATAACTTTTTACTTTCATTTCATATTAAATCCTTTTTTCTCAGGTATGGCTACAGGTACACCACAAATTTAAGTGTTTAACATGTATAATGAAATGCAAATTTACCATAGATTTGTTTTGCAGAATTTTTAAAAACCATGAACATGACAAAATCACACATTCTTGAAAATACAATTATTCTTCAATCAACAGAAACTGTTAGAGATGAATACGGTATGTACTGTAAATTCAGAAATTATTGTGTGCATTTATTATTGCGATTTTTGAAGAATTAACAAAAATGCGAGTTTAATTATTGCGATTTTAGGAAAAACTACATACAGATATATGTATTTAATATAATAATGCGAGTTCTTATTATTGCGATACTTGAGTAGTTGCATTATTCGCATTAATAAAAACCTCGCAATAATTTCTGAATTTACAGTACATGATGTAGTCAACAGAGTACCTTTTCCTAAATAGAATACTCTCAGTCTACTGGGGGATAAATAATGACAAATTTATAATTCATATTACCTGTAGGAATTTTGACATTGATATCATTTAGGGCTGGTTCTTGGGTTGAAAGATCCCAGGAGAATGATCCATCATTGATTTCCACAACCATTCTGGCCTCTATCAAAGTAACTTTCTCAGCAATCTCATCCTCGTCCTCTGTTGAAACACCACTAGTATGGCGCTGTCTTCCACTTGTTTCTTTCTTATCATTTACTGTTAATGAGCCTACAAATAATGCAAGTGTATAAAAATTTAAAAATCTAAAACTTAGAAGAGGTTTACAGACCATAATTAAGTCCTCTCTCTGTTTGGCACAGCATGATACAAGAACAACATATTTTTTTTCCAAAAATTTAAGATATAGGAACAAATAAACATTTGTGTATAACTTTTTGATAAACTTTAAGGATGTACGTAGGTCAGGTTTGGGACTCCTTGTTTTTTTTCCTACGATACAGGGTAAAATATTTTGCCCTATAACACCCATTTTTCTTTTCAAAGAAGACTTCAATAGCTCATAAAAGGTCATTTACCAAAATTTAAGCAGATTGTAGATTTCTTTTTCTTTCAAATTGAGACCCAAATAATACCAAAAGCAAATATAAGGTAAAAGTCAGAGTCAGCCTTTTCCCGCCATTTTTTAAAAATTTAATATCTCGAAAAGGAGCTCCATAACCTATCAATATTTTTAGCTTATTTTGATCCTTAACTAAGGCTCTTCTGACTTATAGTATCAATTTTGAATTCTAGATTTTTCTAATTTCACCTAAGTACATCCTTAATAATATTTGTTGTAAGAAGCTACAACCTTAATAGATATGCTAAATCCATTGTTATAAGACTTAAAATCTTTTTTAGGAACGAACTAATTTGATTCAATAATTAAACTTGTCAGAGAACCTTTATTGACTTGGTTTGTATGGTTTACTCAGTCATTGTTCTCTGACTTCAATTATACCTATCTTTTAGTAACTGTGACTGAGTTCAAGGGCTTAAGGAAGTTCGCTACTCAGTTTCAAAATAACAAGCTTTTCATAATACTAGTATATATTGATAGGGGATTAATAAAGGAACAAAAGAGCTAAAAAAATATAGGTCCGTTTGCTTGTTTCAGAGATATTAGCCATTGAAATTTTGGCGGGAAAATGTTCTCTCTTGATTTTTCGTAGCTTTATCATTGACAAGTTTAAGTTCTCAAAAACTATTAAAAAATAACAAAGATTTTATAAGACTTTTACAGATGGCTTATAATTATACATGTACAAGATTTATAAAAAGAAAAATGGGGGTTAGCAAATGGTTAGTGGGCAAAATTTTTTAAGGCATTCAAATGGATAAAACCAGAGGATTCTGAAAATCTGACAAAAATTCCAAAACATGACAAGCGAACATCCTTAACTGACCTATCTGTTTTGTTGGATTAATTGAGTCCTCTCTCATCTGGTTTATTGTGATCAATCTCTTGTGAACAATAGCCGGCCTGTTTTGATAGTTTCATTGTGTAATCTCTTATGACCTCTAATGACCTTCAGTGAACCATGACCCAAGTTACCTGTTTTGTTGGGTTAAATATGTTGTTTATCCTTCAATGATCTTTGCTTGAACTCAGTGAATTGTGAATGACCTGGTTGTTTTTTTGTTTTGTTTACTGTACAGTCATTCCTTCAAAAGACTTGGAAAATCTCAAGTAACCTTGATCTCAGTGAACTTTTAACCTACCTGTTTTATTGGGTTCACTGTGTCGTCTCTCCTTCAACTCCATGATATCCTTCAGTGAAGTGTGACTGTTCTGTCGACTGTGACCAGGTGTTCTAGACAAACTACTCTCCAGTGAACTCTGACTACTAGACATCTCATTCTGTAAAATTGTCACAGGTTTCCCTGTTCCATTCACACCCTCTACAACAACTCCAACTTTGATTGGCTAAAAAAAAAGTAGACTCAGTTTTCTGAATATATTAGCAAAGTCAAAAAATAGAAAATGACTTTTTTTTTACAAGTTTTCTTTTCATTCAACCTTAAAATTATCAAACATATAAACCATTCAATTTATAGATGTGTTGTTGACTTAATATCAGTGGTACATGTATATATCAAACATTATCTTACCTCCTATACATTTCTAGGAATATCATTGGTTAAAAGTGACCATGTGGACACCGTATAGATTTCATATGGGGTTAGTAGGCGTGGTTTATTTTAATACATGGTTAGTATAGTAATGTTACGTTCTTTTAAAAAAACAACACAAAGTTGAGGAAAAATATGAAACGTTTCATCTGGACAACAGACAACAGACGAAGAAATTGATGATGAACTTTTGAAAAAATAAGCAGAAAACACATTAAAAGCTGATAAATTGTTATTGTTGGCGTTTGTTTTTATATAGACCAATGGAAGTAGGTTCTTTATATTGAAGACTTGATCACTTTGATAGGCCACTAGTCTAAATGCCACATGTTAAGATAAATTTGTTACAGTGTGCTAGTGACCTAATACGATATATATGAGGTCACTAAATGTATTAGGTCACTAGCACACTGTGTAACTTATAATACTAGCCAGGACAAACTATATATATATTTTTCAGCAATTTATCAAAATAATAAACCAATGCCAGTGTTGCCATACCACAAGTTTTTGAGAATATTTCTGTAAAAAAACACAGTAAATTCTGATATGAATGTCTTCTAGTACAAATACAGTTCCTTTCCTTTCCTTTTGCTTTAGATTTTGTATTATGCATATCAATCACATAGTATGTACTTGTTTTTAAACACTACCCCTAACAGTATAACTAAGGTCATACAAAATTCATCTTCACCACCTAATGACCTTTTTACAAATAAAGGATGTAGCAGGGCAGTCAACTTAAACAAATAAGACCCTTGAAACTAAATAAGCTAACAGAGAAAATTTTGTTTTCTTATCATGGGCATAATAAAAGCTAGTATTCACTTTAACCAGGAATGGTTACAATCACATTTCTTGCTGAACCATTTCTTTATTGAAAGAAAATTACAAATGGCAGTGAACCAACGCCTGGTAAATCTTCAGTACGATTGAATCCCTAGGCCTAAAGTGGATACCACGGGTATGCAGGGTTGTTACAATAAAAAACACAAAATGTGAAAGCAGTTATAACAACAAAACTTTAGGGATTGCTGCAGTAATTAAATGAGATTCACATGTTTCTGTGCCTAGGGCACCATCATCAGGATAAAAAAAATACAGAAAATTGTGCCTGAAGTATAAAATCGGGTATGCATAAATTATGTCACAATGTAACCATGGTGAGTATAAATAGAAAGTGAAAGTATACATGTATGGAGGTAAACTTGAACAAGAAAGTTGAATAAAATGTGAATGTCAATGAAATTAAAATGTTTGTGGATATTATTCTGCCAAAGTCTGTTACTTGCTAATAAAAATAAATGAATATGTGTTTGTCATCTTGCATAATGGAACTAAAATATACGATAAGTTATTGACCGGCTGTGTACAGTTTGTGTTTTACCCAAATTTGAAAGGCACTTTATTTGAAAGACTAACAGCTCAAATGCACCAGCTTTAAAGCATATTAAACATCACCCATAGAGCTAAGTCTTAACTTTATATGACCTAAGATTACCATTTTTTTCCTAATTGTCCCTAGCTATATATAGTATTTGTACACCTAACGTGAGGGTACCCAAATTGCATATATTTTGACAGTTTTTTCATCTTCGTTTATTTAAGAAAAAGACAAAAGTTTCCATTCTGTGTTTATTTTGTAGATGTATCCTTATTTACTATAAAGTTCAACAAATCCAACTTTTAATCCATACTGAATCATAGAAATATGGGCTTGAACCTACATTCAAACAACCCAAGATTCTGTAATGAGGAGTACCCCTAAATTGCATTCATGCTTAATTTCACATCCATAAAAATTGAATGAATGATGTTTTGTTTTCTTTCTCCACATTTTTTTAGCAATTTGACCATACCGGTAGTCTCTGGTTATTATAAATTATTTAAGAAATGACATATTGTAATTGTTCATTTTTAAAGGTGGTCTTTTTCTGGATGTTGCATGCGATGTTTCAGTAGATGTTACTTTTTTTACTGTTAACTTCATATGTTGATATATAATGTGACCGTTTTGTGTACATTTAAATATATCTAGCTATGTTGAAAGACGTGCATAATGGCAAATTATAAAAATGCAAATTGTTTAAATATATAATTAGTCTCTAAAAAAAAACTATAAGATTTCAGCTGATTTTTTTTTTAAATGTGTGCAAATTGGGTCCTCGGTGCAATTTGGGAACGTTACGTTACAAAGCTAAGCTTTAACTTTATATGGCCTAAGTATATCTTATTTATAATATAAGTATATCAGGAGCCTGTTGTTCAGTGGTTGTCATTTGTTGATGTGGTTCATAGGTGTTTCTCGTTCCTCGTTTTTTATATAGATCAGACCGTTGGTTTTCCTGTTTGAACTCTTTTACACTAGTCATTTTTAGGCCCGTTATAGCTAGCTGTTCTGTGTGAGCCAAGGCCGTACTTTGACCTATAATTGTTAACTTTTTATACATTGTGGATGGAGAGTTGTCTCATTGGCACTCATACCACATCTTCTTATTTATAAGTATATCCTTTGTGTACCTTGTTATCCATGGTTTCTGTACCAATAGTATGTGTTTTGTGTTTATCCCCTGTGTTGAACCCCTCAGCATCTTCTGCCAAAAGATAGGGAATTACCCTTTTGGCACTGACATTTGCATTGATAAAAGAGTTTATAAAAGCTGTGAACAAAATGGTTGGCAGCCTGAGTACATTAAATAGTGCTAATGTCGACAGAGCTTTCCCAGCATCTAGTGGCTCATCTTCTAAATATGGATACAGTATAAATGTCTGGAAAAGAAAAAAAAAATTGTCATTATTACATTGGTTGCAATTAATTACCATAATTTCCCAGTGAAATAAAAACCGATATTTTCACATGTGAAATAAATCTGATAATTTCACTCCCCTATCGTCATACAACAATGGGTGTTGTCAAGACGTTGTCAATCACATTGCATCAATACAATTAAGAATGTGTAGAAAAAAATGTACTCCCTTTCATTTTTTAACTTTATTTTCATTAAAAAGTCTTCAGTCAATGTAATAAAATGAATAACTAATCCAAGGATCAAACTATTGAAAAATATTCAACTCGTGAATGAACAACACTGATAATTTACTCGTGTGAATTAATGTGTTTTTCAGTCATTCTTTGAATATTTTTCTATATGTGAATTCTTGCATTAATTGGATCAGTCATTTTGTTATTATTAATGTAATTATCACTTGTTTATAATTAATTAAATAATATTTGAAGAAATCATTTACCATTATAGAAAAGTTTCTTACAGCAAATGCATTTTAACCTTGTGTTAATCATTGACAATTTACTTTAAATAAATGCACACAATTATTGACAGTTGTACTTACAATCATAGTTCCTAAAATTGGTATGGCTACTCCAGCGAAGTCTGTAAACATAAATACAATCATATATAGAACATAGGAAATTCATGTAATAAAAAAAAAAAAAATGTGGATAGTGTCCACATGTGGACACAGATGATGCCCCCGCTTGCATATCATATAGTTATAAAGGGACATAACTGAAGAACGGTATAAGTGACGCTACCCAAATTTGAACTTGATCTGAGTTTTGTGATAATAAGCATTGTGTATAAGTTTCATAACATTTGGTTGAGGCAAACTAAAGTTAGAGAACGGAAACGAAAAATTCAGCAATTTTCCATTTGTAAAGGGCATAACTCTAGAACGGTAAAAGTGACGCCACCAAAATTCATACTTGATCTGTGTTTTGTGGTAATAAGCATTGTGTATAAGTTTCATAACATTTGGTTGAGGCAAACTAAAATTAGAGAACGGAAACGAAAAATTCGGCAATTTTTCGATTTGTAAAGGGGCACAACTCTAGAACAGTAAAAGTGATGCCACCTAAAATTCAAACTTGATCTGTGTTTTGTGATAATAAGCATTGTGTATAAGTTTCACAACATTTGGTTGAGGCAAACTAAAGTTAGAGAATGGAAACGATAAATTCAGCAATTTTCCATTTGTAAAGGGGCATAACTCTAGAACGGTAAAAGTGACACCACCAAAATTCAAACTTGATCTGTGTTTTGTGGTAATAAGCATTGTGTCTAAGTTTCATAACTAAAGTTAAAGAACGGAAAACAATTTTGGGACATACGTACGTACGTACAGACGGACAAGGGTAAAACTTAATGCCCCCTCCGCTAAGGCGGGGGCATAAAAAAAATTACTCACTCTAAAAATAACCCATGTGTATCCAAAAAAATAACACCATTGGTGCCACATGTGGAGCAGATTTGATGCTAAACCTTTCAGGAGCACCTAAGATTAAATTCAGTTTTTGGAGGCATTCTTGATGTTCAGCAATAAATTTCAAGTTGTGTTTTGTTGACAATTGTTTATCTTTTTTGCCTAGGTCAAGGGTCTGGATGGGGTTCCTTTATTTCTGTATTCTTTAATTTTTTAGGTCATTTTTCTCTTTCCTCTATATCTTTGCCATTTATTCTCTGTTCTTTATAATTTAGCATCCTATTATTTTATCTATTCCTTCTTTTTATGGCCTATTTTTCTCTTTTCTTTATTCTATTGGCCCATTATTCTGTATTCTGTAAACCCCAACCAAACCCTCATGATCTTATCGGTTTTTCTTCGACTTATGAATTTTTAATTCTCCTGTAGATTTCTTCTGCCTCTTTTTTAATGTTTAAACAGGGCATATTATTTTTAATTTTAGTTTCTTGTGTACAATTTGGAGTTTAGTATGGCGTTCATTATCACTGAACTAGTATATATATTTGTTTAGGGGCCAGCTGAAGGACGCCTCCGGGTGCTGGAATTTCTCGCTGCATTGAAGACCTGTTGGTGACCTTCTGCTGTTGTCTGTTCTATGGTCGGGTTGTTGTCTCTTTGACACATTCCCCATTTCCATTCTCAATTTTATCATTGTAAATATGTCTATTTCATAATCAAGCTTTAGTGATAAAAGGAAATATAAGTCTTCTCCTCTGTGCACTTCCAATAAAGGTTTGACAGTAATTTGCTTCAGTGCCCTCGATAAAACAGGATTAACTATGCCTTGATTGAATCCGAGGGTCTGGATAAGGTTTACAGAATACAGAATAATGGGCCAACAAATAAAGAATAAAAAAAACAGGACCACAAAAAATAAAGAATAAGAAACCAATTGGGTGCAAAAATATGAAGAATAGAGAAAATTAGACTAAAAATTCAAAGAATACAAAAAGGAAGACCCCTCCCATCCAGCCTTCATATATGAATGTAGATAAATTCAATTTTGATTGTACCAGTTTTCATGTAGAAGATATTTTCTAGACATTTTAAAGAATATATGAACTAAAATGTATACACCCAAGCAATGCATGATTAATATCAGTTACACAGAGTGCTAGTGACCTAATGAGATATATACGAGGTCAATAAATTACATATGGGGCGAGAGTAAGCGAAGCTTGTATCCGATATGGAATTTAGGGACCCTGGTTACATGGTATATATCATTTAGGTCACTAGCACACTGTGTAACTGTGTAAATAAAATACCACCAATGACTTTAATGTTTCACCTGACAACCTTAGAATCAATGATCCCCAGTCTAACTGATCAGATAAAATATTCATGTTTCTCATTCATTGATATCCAAAAAACTAAAATCACATAACAATAATCTTACTGAAGAATATACGGAAAACTGCTGCCCTAAACAAGGCCCATAACTCTGGTTTCCGGCTTTTGTTAATGGTTTTCTGACAAATTTTCTCCCATGCCAACAGCTTTATCACTCTCATAGACTGGATCATCTCATTACACTTTTTCACCCTGTTATCTGCATTACTCTAAAAAAAAAAAAAAAAAGTAGTTGGGTTACCTTACCTTAAAGTTAATCAACACTTTAAAGAGGGGTGCTTTTTTTATAATGTTACCATGTAGTAAATGTGTGCAATGTTTTGTTTTATTCAAGGAGTCCATACCATAAATGACTGCTTAAAATACAAGGAATAACTGCAAAATTTACAAAATAACATCAGTATAATAAACTACAGATTTTATTAACGTCAGCATTTAATAACCAATATATTAGTTTTAGTTTGAGTGTACTGTGTTGGTATGCATCAGACTTCTTATACATGTACTATAGTTCTTTCAACTCTCATACTTATTCTGTACAATTATCATAATTTTAAAATATGGTACACAATGTACAGTTACCTGAAAATTATTAAATTTTTCAACTAAATTTTGTGTGCAGACAGTTGTTTATTTTCATTTCTAAAGTAAATTCTGGTCTGCAGAAACATTTCAAACTTTTCTAAATAAACTTTGGTTTAAGGAAGTTTTCTCCTCTTGTTTTTGAATTTTTGCCAGATATTCGGAATCCTCTGTTTTTATCCATGTAGTACCATTCAAAAATTTTGCATGCTAACCCCTACTTTTCTTTTCATAATTTTATTACATGTAGTTTCAAAAGCCATATTTGAAAATCTTATAAAATCCATGTTATTTTCTCATAGTTTTTGAAAGAAAAAAGGTGCCAATGTTAAATGTAGGAAAAATCTAGAGAGAATTATTTCCCGCCAAATTTTAAATGGCTTATATCTAGAAAACAAGAAAACGGACCCTTCATTTTTTTCTGCTTATTTAGTTCCTTTATTTAGTTACTATCAATTTATAAAAATCTTTTAATAAGCTTGTTATTTTGAAACAGAATAGCGAACATCCTTAAAGAAAGATTGTTCTTAAGCTTTTACAAAATTGAAACGTTCTTACATTACCTCAATAAAATTAGTGTTAAATTTTAAGTGCTCAGATCACAATTTATTCCTTTATTTCGATGCCTCTCAGCCAATGACCATCTACTTCATTTTCATTCAAAATTGTTAATAGAAGAAATTAGTGAGAAACTTAATTTTCAACTAGGAAAATTCATGTCAATATTGACAGCAGAAATAGTTTTTTATTATGGCTTGAAAGCAAGTGTACTCACCATAACTTTCTTTTGCTGGACAGACATTTGTCTAGCTATGTAGTACTGTAGTGGTGCTGCTAAGATAAAGATTGAGGCCCCAATAACAGCACTAACTCCTAGTTTAAAATACAGCAGTATAATTGCGACCATTACCTACAAAATGTTAATGTAAAATAGATAGAATATAAGTCTTACAAATAAATACACCAGACTATAATGCTGTAATTCTTTATTGGCAATTGCAAATAAAGATACAAGTTTTTCAGTTTTCATCTAGATACCCATTTTATTAGAAAGAAAGAAATTGTGTAACTATTTCAATAGCCTTTATAGGTAGTAAACAAAGGTTATATTGATTTTATAGTTGGCCCACCTAGAGAATGAAGTTAACCTATTTTCTTTGTCCTTTCAACACACTCAAATGTATGAGCTGTAAGTCAAGTGACTTTTGTTGACCAATCACAAAAAAGTCTGCAAGTCAAGTGACTTCTGTTGACCAATCACAAAAAAGTCTGTAAGTCAAGTGACTTTTGTTGACCAATCACAAAAAAGTCTGTAAGTCAAATAACTTTTGTTGACCAATCACAAAAAAATCTGTAAATCAAATAACTTTTGTTGACCAATCACAAAAAAATCTGTAAATCAAATAACTTTTGTTGACCAATCACAAAAAAATCTGTAAATCAAATAACTTTTGTTGACCAATCACAAAAAGTCTAACAAACCTGTAATGGTGCTGCCCATATATAATGGAAAAGGAAAAACAACATCATAATAAATAAGGTATCTAATGTCATGTGATTCATGATTGAACCAATCGTCATCTTCCCTCCACTGATCACCAATCCTGATATTGTCAACGATTTCTTGTAAATAATGGTCTGAAATGATATTTAATATGAATTCATTTTGTTATCTAACAATGAAAAAAAAAATGTAAAATTATCAAGCAACAGATTACTAAAATGGTTTTACATCTAACAAATAAAAGTGTCATTTCATTAAATAAAGTTTGTATTTTGAATTTGACTTTAACGAATGAATAAAATAATGTATTTCCACAGAAAACCTAATGCAATATTTCGATAGTAGACACAAGGTTTTATAAAAAAAACGTTTACACTTGTTTAACAAATAATTAAAATTAACATCAATAATTTCATTGTATGAAATTACAATTCAAATTAGTATCTTGAACTTATTTGAAGTAATTTCTCACTTTTTAGGTGGATTTTAAAAGATTAAAATATTATTTTGTCAATGTGTTAAGAGGGCCTTTCCCTTTGTCAAGACATAATAAGTCTTTAGCTGTGATGAAAGAATTCAGTTTGTGAGGGGTCTGAGCAAGTTTAAACATCAATAACTTTATGCAACAATTTTTTTTATAAGACATTTTCGCAAGACAAAGAAGAAGCATTACATATGTTTGAACAGTTTTTTTTTTGCCAGGTTGATAATTTCATAAATACTGTTACAAGATATATTTTATTAAGCAAAGCTGTTGAAATAAAAAAAGCTCATGCACAACTCAGTGAAATATATTGCAAAATCATATGCTGTTATTTAAAGCTGATCCAGAAAAAGTTATTTTGAGGTCTTTAAAGGCAAATGCGTATCAATCTATATGGGTGATTTACTCAAGAACATTATTTAAGTAAGCTGATGAGAACATGTATAAAAAAATATTCTTTGAGTGGCAGTCCTGATTCAGTTTGGGGTGTTGAGCAAACCTTTTGATCAGATAAAATGTAATTTGTTAGAATAAAATGGTTAAAAAAAGTTCCATTGCATATAAAAATAAGGAGATGAGGTATGATTGCCAATAAGACAACTAACTATCCAGACCACCAAAGTTCAAATGAAGTGGATGTAAGCAATTATAGGCAACCAAACGACCTTCAACAATGAGAAAACCCCAAACTATATTGCAGCAAAAATGCCCACCACCAACCCCCAGCACTTCCCCTTTCCTAAACACTAGATTCCCTTTGGTGGTGTCCTACTTCTGAAAAAGTGTCTTCAAAGACCTCAATAATTTGTTTTTCTGTAAGCAAAAAATTATTTTATCATGCAAAAAAATAACCTATGTTATCTGCATATTCTGAAAACAGAAAAGCCTTTAACTAAGTCATCGCAGGACAAAGTTTAAGTATAAATTAGTAAACAAAATTGTTAAAACAACTACATGTACGTATAATGTTTTCAATACATTTTCAGATTATTTTGCAATCTTTTTATTGTGCAAATACTGTGACTGTACAGTTGCAGCAAGAATGAAGTATTGCATTTTAAATTTTGCTACCATTATTTATTTGCAGCATAAACTGATATTTCAATAACTTATTCAATTAAATACTTATGGGTCATCAATCACAATGATAAATGCATGCAAAAATTTCTGAATTTAAAACATGTTAATAACTTATTTTCATTACTACCAATTACTTGCTTCATCTATTCCTATTGTGATACATGTAACGCAGTTTATATTCTGCTAATGTGATAACCTTTACACTGGCATAGGAGTCCATTCCAACATGATATTTTGTGCAATGTAGAATTCATGTCATTTCACTTTTCATCAAAATCTGGAGCTCATTTAGTAATAATTCAAGAAATAAAGGAATGCACAAATTTTACCAATTGTAAAAGGACAGATGAATTTTATTTCTGTATTCTTTAATTTTTAGGCCATTTTTCTCTATTCTTTATACTTTTTGACATTATTCTCTATTCTTTATATTTTAGCACCTAAATATTCTCTATTCTTTATATTTTTTGGGTCCATTTTTCTCTATTCTGTAAACCCCATCAACACCCTCATGAATGGAAAATCTACTTTGTCAAGCCATGTGACTGCATGGCATAATAGGTATGGTATTGGAAATCAGAAATAAACTTTTATGCCAAAAAAAAAAAAATTAATGAAGGCATAGCTCAAGTAAACAGAAAAATTAGATACAAAATGTTAGTGTTCACATTAGTGCATCAAAAATTAGTAAAACAAAAACACTCAGAAAAATACCTACATATTCCAAAAACAATCAAGGCATGCATAATGTATACAAGGACTTTTTATGTCTCACCTTGTTCAAACCTAGTTGTACATTTACAATACACTTCATTGCACCGTAGATGTAAACTTAAGACAGCAGACAAACAATATCAACTTTATTTGGAATTGAGAGCTCAAAATCATTTCAATTTTCTAATATATAATTTGGCTGTAAAACAGCTTTACTTTTTGGCAGCAATAAAACTATGAAATAGTCAAAATTATGGACTCTGCAATCAAAATGAAATTGTGATTTAGAAAGCTGGCCTTGCAATACCTGATAAAAAATAATATTATATATACATGTGGGTAAAAGGATGAATTTAAACCATGAACCACACTTCTTTACCATTCTTAAAAGAAAACTACACTAATAAGCTATTCCCCCAAAAAGGTCAAACATTAATGTTGTTTTTTTTATAACAAAAGACATTTAGTGTACCGGTAGAACAAGTAAATATATTCAGTCAATTTTTTAAAAAAATTTCCCGAAATTTTCAGTTTACATAGTTACATTGTAATTACTTAATTTACATAATAAATTCATAAAGTAAAATGATAATCTACCAATCTTATGTATTATTTTTTTACACTTAAGTGCCAAATCAATAATGTTGACTTAAATTAAAGGCTTACAGCAGATTCCATTGAGTGTGTAGCCAAAGGTAACATCTTTGGTTAGCTTGCTTGTTAGCTGAACCGTGAAGTCATTATTAGGTCAGGTATACTACCCTCCTTTCGAAGTAGCATAGTCCAACAGACAGATCGATTGGTTTTCTGTCGGATAAGTCTATTCTTAAAGTAGGGTAGTTTACCTAACCTAACAATGACTTCACGGTTCAGCTAACAAGCAAGCTAACCAAAGATATTACCTTTGGCTACACACTCAATGGAATCTGCTGTAAAAGGACCTTCAAACAAGTTTACATGTTCTTTTCAAAGTATTGGTTCACAACGTCATTTTGAATTTTCTGAAACTTTCTGGAAATCCTTTTTAAAATTTCTGGTCATTCACTTAAGTATGGCTTGGTTTTGTAATAATGAATCAGTTACTGGACCAAGCTATATTTAACAGAATATTGCTAGTGTTAATGACTATGAAGTGGCCAAATATAATTTTTATGCAAATTTTATTAAGAATTCAGCATTTGATATGTTTTCCTGTGGATACAGATAAAAAAGTAGTTAACGCTAAAAAAGTACTTAACAGCGCCTTGTAATTTCTGTTAGTTGAAGCCATATTAATCATGTGCATTAGCAGAAAAAATCACTTCTATTAGTAGAAAGCCTTTAGATCCTTTTTTTTCAAAAGGTGAGACACAAATTATCCTTGTACAACTTTTCTGGAATGCAATTTATTTTACCTGTAGGGCTGTTTTTACTCTAATACCTTCTCTGATTACAAGAAAATAATGATACTGAAGCAGCGACAACTGAACTATGGTGGTTACGAACAATACACCACATAAAATGTAGCCGTTTTGTAGGAACTCGGACACTGTCAAATAATGGATGATCTGAAAAAGGCAAAGCAGTGCAAGTTTCTTTAGCATTTCTGTATATTTAAATATTCTAATATAGGGAAAGGAAACATTCTAATCACAGCTGACGAAATTTTGTGCACAAACTCAACAAAATTTTGAATATTATTGAATGCTATGCAAATTATAGCGTAAAGTTCATTCAATCTTAAATGATCTAACCCAATTTCATTATAGATTTTTTGTCAACAGCTGTGATTAAACTTGTTTAATGTGTTTATAATTATAGGATCATTCCAGGCAACTGTTCTTACAAATATCAACATACAAGTTTAAGAAACAAAAAGGCAAATTTGGATGCCATGAATTTTATCTTCATGTACTGTAAATTCAGATTTCGAAATTATTGCATGCATTTATTATTCATTTGTTATTGCGACTTTTGAAAACTGAACTAAAATACAAGATTAATTTTTGCGATTTCAGGAAAAGCTTCATTCAGATATCATTCATATCAGAATGCATTCAGATATCATTCATATCAGATATCAGAATGCATTCAGATATCATTAATATCAGATATCAGAATGTGAGTTCTTATTATTGCGATACTCACCCAGTAGCATTATTCGCATTAATAAAAACTTCGCAATAATTTCTGAATTTACAGTATACATTGCAGTGTTTCAAAAAACAATTCAGAAACCACAGCTTATCTTTTTATTTCCAAACCAATTCAATCATTTCTAGAAAATCCTATAACATAAGAATTTCTTAATTGAAATATGACACCAGGGTCTCAGATATAGAACAGTTACATAGAATGACCCAGAAAAATATGTTAGCATAATAATTTACCTGCAGAGCAGTTTTAACTCTGATACCTTGTCTAATGACGAAAAACACCTGTAGCTGATTGACGGTTAATTGTATAGTCGTCGCAATAAACAAAACGAAACACAATATATAACCATTCTTAAAGAAGTCAGATACGGTCACGTAGTATGTTATCTGGAATATATAACACCATATATTACTAAGTATTTGGTGCAAGGGGGTTAGTTGGACTGCCAGGTAGGAGTGTGGTGAGAATAAGGAATCCTGAATACTATTTAGGGAGAGGGGGAAATAACAAATAAGCACATATTGGTAGAAATACTTGGAGCAGAGCTCACAATGTCACTTCCCTGTTTTCACACTTTCCAATAAACAACACTCTCCATGTTTCGCTGTGGGACAATTCTTAAATAATTCAGATCACAAATTAAATAATGCTATTTAATGCTCATCATTAGCAAAATGATGTGTGACAGTAGCAGAGCAGGATCTGCTAACCCTCTTCGGGGCACCTGAGATCTCCCCCAATTTTTGATGGGGTTCATGTTGCTCAGTCTGTAGTTTTTCTGTGTAGTGTTTTGTGAAATTATTTGTCTTCTCATTATCTTTGGAATTGATGATACAAAATTTGGAAAAAAGACAAAATGATCCCTAACCACTGCATTCACAGTGTTGTAGTATAAAAGTCTCATATTCATATATTGTTCATTAAGATAACAGGACGCTTTTATACATGTTATAAACTCCCAAAATGAAATAGAGCAAACTTTGCAATAAATGAAACTTGCATGTTAATTTATGAGTAGTGTTCTATTACTAAATTACACTTGTGCAGCAATTACAGATACTGCATTAATAAAACTCACAATATCATCTGATGTTGAATATTAACATTAAGAAATGACTGATTTATGTTCTAAATGTATATAATTTCAAACATTTATAATAGAATTATTTCCCCTACATCTTGGAATTTACATTTGTTTCTTTTTTTTTTAATTTTTCATTGATAGAGTATTAATTTAAGCTTTAGTTATGGTAAAGGGTGTAACAATGTCCAAACCAGGGTTTGTTTATAGTGCTGTGGTAAACGTGCGATTTTCAACTGAAATATATTTTGTGTTGCCATGTGATGTAAAGTCTGCAATGCAACTTTGTTTATACTAAAATATATTCAAAATGAAATATATAAATAGCTGTGTTCATAAACATTTGAATGAACAGAAAATGGAAATAAGTTAATAGAATAAACATATACCAGTAATGAATTGTTTTTTTGAATATTCTTAGGTTATGTTCTTTATGATAACATATATATGTGCAATTTTGTACGTCAAACCATGTACTCAAACAAATTCTAACTGATTATCTTTAGCATTAAGTGAAAACTAATCACCAATTAAGAAACTGCAAGACTTTTGCAAAATCTGTTGACCTATCACTTGGACAGGAACTTGAAGAAAAAGAAACCTATTCAAATTATTAACTGGACTTGTCAGCAAAATGAATCTTTGGGAAAAAAAATATTTTGACCACAGAAATTGCAACCTTGGTTTTTGTAAAAAAGGTTGTATATTGTCACGGAATAGAAGTTCCTTCATAATATAAGTTCCAAATGGAAACAATATTCTGGAATATTATTTCCACTGGAATAAATATTATAGTAAATGTTCCTAACGGAATAAATGGTATAGAATATTTGTTCCAACAGGAACAGATATTATGACATTGTTTATAAAAAAGTTTCCAGTGGAACTTCTGTTAGGCGGAACAAATATACGTTGACAATATATAACATGTGTATAGTGCCTAAGCATAAATTACTAGACATATAAAAGACTATAAAAATATTACTTATATACCTGAGTGGAATTCATCTGATTAAGTATAAGAGTAAAATTATTGGAAAGGTTGTCTTGGTAACCATATACAGAAGCATTCTGATTGGTCGGCAAAGGAACAGGGAGGTCATGTGACTTTGTTTCTTTATAAGCATAAGCAACGACATGCTCAACACACCAAGGTCCAACAAATGCCAGCATGTCCCCAAATAATCTTAATAATCCAGCAAGTGCAAGAATGGGCCAGAATGCTCTCAGGTAGATCTTGTGAAATGATGGTTTTTCACCTTTTAATTCTGCTTTACTCTGAAAAAGAAATAATTGTTTATGCCATTTATTTAAATTTTTCTAATCTGACAAGACTCTTGTTCCATCAGTTTTGAAGAACTTTTCAGGATCATCTGGTTTTTCTTTAAGATACAAATTAAACCTTCTAAAATCTTGGAGTAGAAATTTCATTGAGCATGTTGAGACAGCAACCAAATTGTGACTTTGAGATGAAGAACAGGATTAGAAACATGTTCTTTTTTCAAGTGTGTATAGTGATTTTGTGACATGAATTGATTCACCATTCTTTATTAATTAAAATGTAAAAGAGGAAATCTTACTTATCATGCTTATTGTCAAAAACCTCAAGATTCATGGCTGATCAATTACCTGTATTCAAGAAATTGAAAGTGAAGTTATTAATTATATTGCATACTTCAATCTTTTTAGACAAAAAAGCTATACATGCTATATACATGATATAATCATGCTAATGGTTCAAGAGGTACATGTTGCCATTCACCAAAAAAAGTCCACTAGTCATTCCATCATAAAAATGTTTGCTTCATTGTCCTGACTGTCAAATTATTAACTTTATAATATAAATAGAAAAAACCTGTGCTTGAAGACTACTTGAAATGTTTATGGTGATACACAGCTTGGGCCTTGGGTTCGTGTTTCTCAAACTGTTTTTATTCACTGATGCATTATGTTGATAGTTTTGATTAGTTTTTCAGTTCTTCTTCCATAGGAGTTTATATGTCCAACCAGTAGCTTCTGTCTCGGTGTTACACAGATGCTCTTAGAATGGAGGAAATAACTCAGAGAAGAAAAAGACAACCTTGAACACTGATGATTAAATCATTTCTCAGTGGTGCTAGTTTGTAGTATTTCTTTTTTTTTCGAAAGGTGTGAGTCAAGTTCTGTCTCTGTGTGATACAGGTGCTCCAAGAACGGAGGAAATAACTAAGAGAAGACAATCTAGAACTCTCTGATAATTTAAAACATTTCTTCAGTGATGCGAGTTTGTGGTATTTTTTTTTTTGAGTGGTGTGTGTTCTGTCTCTGTGTGACACGGGTGCTCCGAGAAAGGAGGAATTTACTAAGAGAAGAAGAAAACAATATAATGATTAAACACATTCTTCAAGTTTTTTATATTTCTTTTTTTTCCAGTGTTGTGAGTTTGTGATGCAAGTTGTAATATAGTGAGAGTGTTTGAGTGGTGCAAGTTGTCCGTGGGCCGAGTTGTCATCAATTGAATACAAAACCGTTTCCGCCTGCTTACAAAACGTAGACGGTAAGGAACCAGCTACGGAACTTTATTTGGGGTTTAAATAATTAAGCTACGCTAATTAAAGCAATTACTATATGAAGTTGTTATATACAGTACATACACTAACTATTTATTATTATATAATACTTCAGAAGAATGTCACCTCGAGACAAACCAGCTTAAATGCCAAAAAATGGCGTTTTCTGTGGAAAAAGAATTGTTTCAAAGACAAATTTAGGAAGTACAAAACACTACATTTAAACGTCATATCACAAATATTTCCGACTTTGTATGGTTTCAGAGGAGTTGCGGCTCGATGAAATCGGTCTCTTCCTTTAGTAGTATAGATTATGTAGTTCTTTGTAAATATTTTTTTTTTTGCTATGCTCAAAAATATATTCAATTTTTTAAATTTACCATATAAAATTAAAAATATGAGTTGTTAAAATTTTTTTACACATTAAAGTAAGCCATGGTCACGATGGCAAAATATGAATACTGTCAGTCAAATTCCATGACATTAGCAATAAGAATGTCATGTAGAATTTTGAAACATAATTCATTTCAATCTGTAAATCCCAACCCTAGAGAAGCAAGTGTGTATTAATTTCTGTTCAATATATTTGTTATGTCAAAAATTTAGTAATCAACAATTTCAAATCCAAAAGCATTTAACATGTTTAAAGGGTTGGCCAGAATCTGGTCTTTAACAACTGATTCAAAGGAAATGGAGTTACTTCCCTTGCATTGTAAAATATAAACATCAGGAATTTTGTTCACTACTAAAAATGATAATTGATTTGTTTATCTTATACATGTTATACTCTGTACACATATCACACTATTTTGTATTGTATAAAAGAAATTCTATCATATAATACAAACCTTTTCAAATTCAAATGCTGCCTTTAACTTTTTATAGTTTGTAGAAGAAAGCTCACTCTGAAAAAAAAAAAAACAACAAATTATCTCAAGGATGTTTGCTACTCTGTTTCAAAATAACAAGCTTTTTAAAAGACTGTTATAAATTTAAAGTATATAAATAAAGGAACCAAAAAAACACAGAAAAAAATGAAGGGTCCGTGCTTGTTTTTGAGATATAAGCCATTGAAAATTTGGCGGGAAATGATTCTCTCTAGATTTTTCATACTTTTAACATTGTCTGCTTTTCTCTTTTAAAAACTATGAAAAAATAAGGATTTTATAAGATTTTCAAATATGGCTTTTTAAACGATATGAAATAAAATTATGAACAGAAAAGTAAGGGTTAGTGGACAAAATTATTTAATGGCAAAACATGGATAAAACCAGAGGATTTGGAAAATCTGGCAAAAAAATCATAAATAACATGAATAAGAGGAGCGAACATCCTTAAACATGTTAAACATTTTGTTAGAGAAGGTAAAAAATCTCTCATTGTTTGCCCAAGCTCACAATGGTGATATGACAGATATTGAAATGTTTGATACATGTAGTATCTGTTAATTTTTATTCACATTTCTAGACTTTTGATTATTTTGAGCTTACATTTTGTATACCGTAATTGGCCTTGCATGTTAATCCCTAGATGTCTTTAGGTTGCAGTCTCTTATCCGCTTTTATAATTTATTTGATGCATAAACATGATAAACAGACAATTGATCATTCCTCTTTCATTTCATATGTACAATGTATGAGGTAAAAGAGGTCACTGTGGTGGATCTAGGCTCCAGACTAAGGTGTAGAGTGTGTACATCCCCCTTTTGATTGCCAAAAAAAATTAACAAAATCTTGTTTTTCAGGATTTACAATGTGTATGGTTTTTTAGCATCAAAAAAATTTTTACTTTGACATTTTCTGGAATTACACCCCTCTCCTTTCAAAAATTATTTACATTTGTATCTGCCCCCCTGGTACATGTACATGCACAAAATCTGATTGTTTATCATACAAGTACCATTCTTAATATTCTTATAAAAATGTACATGTACATGTACATGCATACATGGCATATGAGATTAAAAAAAAAATACATACCTCTGGAAGATCTCCAAGATTCTCTTGTTCTAAAGGATGTTTGTATCCTTGTCTTAGTAAACTTAATATCCAAAAACATGTGATTTTGGACATTAGATTTACATGTGAAAATAAGTAATCCGATTTCCCTAAATCTGGTGATGGTCTAACTGGAATTGGATTACTAAAAAAGGCATACCTCTGCAATAATAGAAGATTCATAATCAAGATTGTCTAAAAGCATAAAATTGAGTGATTATTGTTGATAGATTATTCCTTAATAGCTATATATATCATAAAATTGAGAATGGAAATGGGGAATGTGTCAAAGAGACAACAACCCGACCATAGAACAGACAACAGCAGAAGGTCACCAACAGGTCTTCAATGCAGCGAGAAATTCCCGCACCCGGAGGTGTCCTTCAGCTGGCCCCTAAACAAATATATATACTAGTTCAGTGATAATGAACGCCATACTAAACTCCAAATTGTACACAAGAAACTAAAATTAAAAATAATACAAGACTAACAAAGGCTAGAGGCTCCTGACTTGGGACAGGCGCAAAAATGAGCGGGGTTAAACATGTTTATGAGATCTCAACCCTCCCCCTATAGCCATGGCCAGCAAAATTTATTAAATGTATAGTATATTTAGTACCTCAAAAAATGTCCTCATATGTACACAATGTAATCTATTCAAAACACTCATGGTGTTAATTTTCCACAATAAATGCTTGTGATTCTGATGTCTTTGTTAAAAATCTTTCTTGGCTGTCTGTCTAATGATAATGCACGATAAATATGTATCATCTTGTTCATATCACCACTGATGTTCTCATTCTGAATATTGAGTACATATAACATGTAAATGTATATAAAAAAATGTGATTAGGTAAAAAGTGACTTTTTCAGTTGTGTAGGAATCATTTTAAACCATGCTGGTTGCCTTACGCTTTGATTCATGGTGATATCACTCTGATTAAGAACCTGATTTACATCATGTTCATGCATATACATTTTGAATTTATGTTTTCAAAATGATTAAGGACCCTCACCTGAAATAAACAATCATGTTTTTATCTTAAAACTAAAAAATGTAACATTAAAAAACTTCATAAAAAATGTATAAACTAAATATAAAGAAAAATTGTAAAAATTGAAAATACGAAAATATACACTGATATATGACCATCAAAAAGAAATAACAACATCAAACTAAAAAAATTTTTTCGATAAAATTTAATGAATATTAATTTGGAAACATTTACCAGGCATGCGCCGGAAAGTAAACATCAGTATGTTGATGGTTTTCTGTAACCGCAGAAGAAGAAGACAGTTTTCTAATTAAAGAGCTGATTAGGGCAAAGTGTCTTGTAAAGTGACATATTTTGTAATATAGAGGAGTTTTTTTTTTCATCCTTTCTTATCCTGGTAATGATATAATAACAAATACCTGATTGACCCTACAATCCCCTATTATCATGATTACATTTAAGTGTTTGATTACCATGATTACCACTAATTAATCAAACAATGAAATAAACTCAACTTCCTCAAAGGTCAACCATTGAACCAATGCATATGACAATGTATGACATGAATTAGTTTCACAATAGTAATGATGTAATTAAAACATTTGTAAAATGTTGGTTGATTTTTAGTTCGTTGGGATGTGCTTAATTTCACAATACACATATTGTATTATTTTACCTGTATAAATAGAAATATTATTTCTGTCAATAATAAAATCAGGTACATAGCAATGTCTATCCATGTAACCCACATTCGAATATGTTCAGATGTCACTTTATTTTGGTGAAGTGAAACATACTTAAGTACTTTTAAAACGACACAGCACGTCCAATATAGCATCAATGACAATAAAAATTTGGGTGAATTCCACTGTTCCAAATTATGATAAAATATGATGCTTAGTAATGTTCCTACTAATGCAATACACTGTGGTACGATAACATGTAGATTTGTTGTGTCTGTATCAGCAAGTTCTGCCATAATTCCCTCCAGTAATGAAATAATTATGTTAAGAAACAAAAGCAAAGTTACTATCCATCTGACTGTATGTCCTCTAAAATGTACCCATGTTTTTGCTTCCATTTTTCCAAGTGAAGATCTATTCCATATAATGAGAATAAAAAAACTAAACATAGAAAAAATAGCATGTGGTACAAGGTTAAGTACATCAATGTAACATTCATTTCTAATAACACCCTCCTTCACACTAAGGGCATTATCCCTATTGCCACAAAACCCCATCATGTTTTGTGGTGATGTCTTAATATACTATTTCGGTTTCTTATTTTACACTTTTAGTAAACCTGAAATCACATGTATCACAGAACTGATTGACCTGCACAGCAGAGGATCATGAATTGCACAATGTTTGTTTGTATGAACTTTAAGGTTCATAATTCAGGTCAACTGATAACTCGATTGATATTGATAACTGAATTTGAACATGGTCATGGACTAATAAAAGCCGAGTCGTGGTTAAAAAATGTGAATAACAAGTATGTCTTTTAAATCCAATTATCGCCTTTATTTTTCGGGTTTATTTAATGTTCTATGCATTGCAAACTATCAAAATAAGGTGATGCTACATCGGTGATCTTTTGATATAGGAATCTGTTATGATTAGCCTAACAACTCCTCGTAGATAACTATGCAACTTCCGGTATACTTAAATATTCACCTTTTCACTGTAAAAACCAATTCACAACGGTAAATTAAGATCAGAATCATTTTTTTTTATTATTTCAATTACCCTAATTCATGATAAATAAAATTTCGAATAAAACACTGGGACTTTGATATACATGTACTATATTTCCTACGCAAACCGGAAGTTACGAACTTGATAAAAGTGCACACACGCACAGACTGAGACTGCAAAGCACATTAGGCATAAAATGGCTCAGCCAGCGTCCCTTGAGACTGTTCCTAAAGATCAAAGAAATTTAAGAGCCTGCTTATTATGTTCCCTCGTCAAGGTTTATTTTTAATATATGCCAGAATTCAGGGCCTCCATTTACTTTAAATTCGGAGGACTACACTACCCAAACTGTAAACCTAACACTATATAGCCAGTATAATATACAGTACGGGTAGAGACTTATTATTATGGATGTCTTAATCCGTCTAGATGTCAGACTGGCCGGACAGTTGTCTCAGTGTAATTAACACCTGCTGTGATATTAACCTGTACAATATCCGAGTGGAAGGTCGTAAATCAATCTGTACCAGCTTGATTAGAATTAAATTTTACCTGTAGGCTGTACAGATATTTTAGTATTTATGGAGGATAGATAATAAATGTAAAATATTATTTTGTATTCAAAGAAAAAATTACAATAAATATAAAAATTTAGTATCATGAATATGGGATCAACTTTTTTTTAACTTGAAAATGAAAGAAAGACGATTTTTAACAATGTACTGTAAAAATGTGTTGCCAATTACAATAATTGTGTTTGTGCCAATAAACTATTTGTATTTGTAAACCGTAAATATTTCATTTTATTCAAAATTATAACAACCAGGACTGTTTTCAATCGAAGTTTTAATCAAAATGTTGAGACATCAATCCCGTAAATTATACGAGTTTTCGTTGATGGTTACAATATTTCCCCCTTTTAACGTCCTGTTCCTTAAAGTTATTAATAGAAACACAATTTTAAGTATGAGGCCAACATATCATATTTATAAAGTATATAAACAAATTGAATATAGGCATTGTGAATAAACTGTTATTTTCCTTTCGATACCACGTTCCCCGTCGTAGCCTCTACGTCTATTCATACCTGTCAATCATTTCTCGCAAGTAAAACAATTTGGTCAGCCAGATCATCCCTGCTTTCTATTTTGACATATATTTCCCGTTAACCTCTTTGAAACAATTGTTTTTTTTACAATATTTTTAATGCAGTGATCATCTTTCGATTCCTATTTTTTATGTAAAAAAAACTTTTCATATGCACGTCAATATTCTATGACCCAGCATTATTTTAAATTTTGTTTGTTAATAAATTTAAATATAATGGAAATAACAGATTTGTTGACACTCGTTGTATTATAACAAAGATATTGCCTTTCTATTTCCATGTTTGAAATTTTAATGAAAATCGTGTTTTTTATAAACATATTTTACGAATAGTGTCAATCAATACATGAAGATGAAAGTTTTACACTATTCATGATCAGCCGTCTTTACTTTTGCGTCGTATTTCTATCCATTCTCTAAAGCTTGTGCATGCAGTCAGTTAGATTTTGTAAATCGATGTCGGCAGTTTAAATTGTATAATTCTCGAACTTTAAAGGATGTGTCCGAATAAATTATTTAAATAGGAATCTGGGTGTTGACTAATAAATATGATAAATAAAATAGTTAAAGAAGACTAAAGCTTGTTTTGTTTATAATTACAAGGATTAAATTTTCTATTCTGGTAAATCAATTATTAATGGATCTCGATCAAGAGCCTCAAAACTAACGCACAATACTGCCAATCATTACGTATCAAATTAAATCATGAATGGATTTTCCCACGGTCGGTCAGTAAGGTCACCTGTGTTAACTGTTACGATATTTCCCGCCATATGAAAATCACGTGCTTTTGACAAAATTAATCCCAGCTATTTTTAGCATTCAACATTGTATTGTGAGTGAAGTCAAGTTCAAAGTTCAACCACATGCTGTTGATCACTGATATGTGTATCATGGAATTGTCTTTTCACAGCAAATATTTTTTTTAGATTGGTGTCAAAAATACAACATACAAGTTAACATGCATTGTGCGTAAATTAATATTATGCAATTAAGAGTCAATGCAGCACCATAAAATTATTTAAATAGGAGTAATTGCATTTCTTTAACCTACAAATCATAGTAAATATTTAATTAACTGGTCATCAAACGATTGAATGCTTCTAGTTTTAATGTCCATTCATGTCAGTGGCAATTATTTCATGCATATTTAACAAACACAGAAATATCAAAATAAACCTAATTCCCGAGAAGAATCGTTATCTTCTTCTAGTGTTATTATTTGCGTACTACCTTAGTTATATATCACCAACTTTCGGACAATATTTGTTTACAGTAAAAAGTAAATTCACAACTATAAAGAATCACCAAACTACTAGTATACAAGTATTGCTCACTGTAATTATTTTTATTTCAGAACTGACCCAACGCAGACTGAAAATTAAATACAAATGTAGCATAGCGTTGTCAAACTAAAACGTATGCAGCAGCACTTTGCACATCATTCTGCTAATATATGGGTTTACGTGGAAAATAAATCAGTAAAACAATAATAACCTTCCAGAAATAAAAAAGAAAATAATTTAAAAACTGTATGCCAACAAATACGAAAAAGGTACATAACAAAAAAAACCAGGGAACATAGAAAATAATATTTTGAGGAATATAAACAGCATTTGAAATATAAAAAGCCATAATTAAAAAAATAGGCCATTTTTATTAAAACAAAGTTGTCTCCAGTACTTCACCTGTAAAAATATTTTATGTCAAATACGATGTAGAACTAATCAATAAAGTGACTGAGAGGTTTAAATCACAGGTAACCTGATTCTGAAATCAGTGAAGCGTAATAATCTAGTAGCACGGATTGAGATGAAAGGACAATTATATTACCGTTCACACCTGGTTGATTAATGACCATACTACCTACCATAAAAAAGTCGGATTATTCATTTCCGACATGTCCCAGTCCGTTATTTATAGTAATAAGTCTCTACCCGTACTGTAGGCCTAACCATAAACTTAAACAAGCCTTCACCTATCCCTTTAGTAAATACAGGCAGAATGCAGGTCCTTTTTCCCACAACATACCTATTTGCCCACTTACCTTTTCAGTCTTGTTTTGTTTGTTGTGTTGTACGAAAGCTTTCAAGACATTTTGCTGGGTCTCGCTAATTTAGTAATACACCTTTATTTTTCAAATCTGTATAAGTTCTTAAATCACCACTACTATTTCATCTAACTAGAGCTATCTGGGCCCCTGTTTAAACCCTATATTATATAGATATAAGAAGATGTGGTATGACAGTCAGGGGTACTACTAGTACAAGTAATTTTTATTTACTTGAAGAAGTAATATTAATATACTTATATAAGTAAATATGTAGGATACTTATACAAGTGTATTTTATTTACTTGTATAGGTAAAAAAAAAATTGGCTTAATTATGTCCCTTAGACATTCAGATTTTTGTCGCAGAAAGCTCGACATAGGGATAGTGATCCGGCGGCGGCGTTAGCTAACTTCTTAAAAGCTTTATATTTTAGAAGATGGAAGACCTGGATGCTTCATACTTTGTATATGGATGCCTCATGTTACGAAGTTTCCGTCAGTCACATGTCCAATGTCCTTGACCTCATTTTCATGGTTCAGTGACTACTTGAAAAAAAAGTTCAGATTTTTTGTAATGTTAAATTTTCTCTTATTATAAGTAATAGGATAACTATATTTGGTATGTGCGTACCTTGCAAGGTCCTCATGCCCATCAGACAGTCTTCACTTGACCTCGACCTCATTTCATGGATCAGTGAACAAGGTTAAGTTTTCGTGGTCAAGTCCATATCTCAGATACTATAAGCAATAGGTCTAGTATATTCGATGTATGGAAGGACTGTAAGGTGTACATGTCCAACTGGTAGGTGTCATCTGACCTTGATCTCATTTTCATGGTTCAGTGGTTATAGTTAAGTTTTTGTGTATTGGTCTGTTTTTCTTATACTGTATGCAATAGGTCTACTATATTTGGTGTATGGAATGATTGTAAGGTGTACATGTCTAGCTGGCAGGTGTCATCTGACCTTGACCTCATTTTCATGGTTCAGTGGTTATAGTTAAGTTTTTGTGTTTTGGTCTGTTTTTCTTATTCTGTATGCAATAGGTCTACTATATTTGGTGTATGGAATGATTGTAAGGTGTACATGTCTAGCTGGCAGGTGTCATCTGACCTTGACCTCATTTTCATGGTTCAATGGTCAAAGTTAAGTTTTTGAGTTTTGGTCTTTTTTTCTAATACTATATGCAATAGTTCAACTATATTTGGTGTATGGAAATATTTTATGATCTACATGTCAGTCACGCAGGTTTTATTTGACCTTGACCTCATTTTCAAGGTTCATTCCTCAGTGTTAAGTTTTTGTGTTTTCGTCTGTTTTTCTTAAACTATAAGCAATAGGTCAACTATATTTGTTGTATGGAAGAATTGTTAGCTGTACATGCCTGCCTAGCATGGTTCGTCTGACCTTGACCTCATTTTCATGGTTCATTGGTCAATGTTTAGTTTACTTGGTTAATGTTAAGTTTATGTGACAGTTGTAATAAAGCTTTATATTTAGGACTATCAACATAATATCAATGATTAGTAAAGAAGGCGAGACATTTCAGCGTGTGCACTCTTGTTTTACTTATATAAGTGAAAAAGTCATCCTATCTTCTTTTCTTGAATTCTTAGGACCTCTTTGCTCTAATAGAATTTTAAACTGTCTGTCCTTTGCAGATGTCTTAACTAATCATTTAAGTGTAATTCCATGGACAATGAAAATCTCATTTGTCTGTTATCTTCAGAACACTGCTCATTTACAAGCCCCCAAGGAGCAATTTTTGAAGACCTTGCACAAATACTTAAGATCTTTGCGCAATCAGTTTCTTTGTTGAATTAATGAGATGAAACATTGAACTCTAATCAAAAATTATGAGCTAACCTGGGAAAAATCATTAAATGCATGTTTTTACATCTCAAAACTTGAGAATTTTTGTGGGATTGTAAAAAAATTTACTTATACATGTACAAGTGAATTTTTGAGAAAATTAAGGGGAGATTATTCAAACATTATAATTAACTCATATAACTCTTCAAGTAAATAAAGATTACTTGTACAAGTAGTAACCCTGACTGTATGAGTGCCAATGAGACAAGGGTATCAGGTCTTCCGGCCCCAAACTGATCCGGCCAAA